CTTTACATAATAAAATGTCTTTTGCCTTACTATAACATAAGCTGCTATCAAATTCAAGTCTTGCTTTTTAAATAAGTTATTCAATGTGTATGCGTGTGTTATGAAGTCCGTATGTCAGTAGCCTTCATATAAGGTGTTAGCCCAGTACTCAGACGTGATGCCCAGTAGTTTATAGCGCTGTCCTGGTATAAGCGATATGTCATCGAGTTCTGTTGTTGTGTTAAATGGGGCAGATTTCTGCTTTGGCCTCTTTTTCACTGCTAGATGTTGAAGTACGTTTGAGATGTTAGTTGAGCATCACTCTTCAATATTAACGCTATGTGCTTGCATGGCTGGATGTGTGTAAATGTGTGTGTTTGTTACGCATGGTTTAACCACAAGCCTATATGCTCAGAGCAGAGCAGATGCGACCTGTGTGGCCACCGGGGACTAATGTATAGGAATTAGGCTGCAACTAATGATTTTTTTTTCTATGATTAATTAACCTTTTGATTGTCAACTAATCTTACTATTACACTTTAGCTCTGGTACAACATCATTTAAAGTGGCAAGCAGTTATACAACATTTAGACCCTGTTCACACTTGGTAATAACATCCGTCTCGAGTGATCTGATCATAAGTGGACAGCCAGACTTGTAGATGTTTACACCTGCCATTTCCATGTGTCTCGAATGCCTCCCTTCGCCTCCGTTGAGGACACATCAAGACACATTAGCGTTCACACTATGAATGTTATGTCATCATATGCGTCCCTGACCACCTCCAAATGTGGTTTGAATGTTTGGATCACAATGTATTGCATTGAACCATGTTCATACCTGTACTTAACGCTGTCCACTAATGACTGCGTCACCCACAATGCATGTTAATGCCAAATGTAAACGAGGCCATAGTTCCAGTCACACAGTTGGTTTGGTTGAAAAGTGTTATATCTAATAACAGTTTTCAACTTTACCTGTATTATTTCACAAAACCACTGGTTGCTAAGAACAAAGCTGCTGGAACTACTTTTCTAGTGAAAGAAATTCCTAATATTATAAACAGCTTCAACCACAACCAGTTCATTAAGTGCACCTCCTTATGTCTACTTTCTTTATCCATTTTATCACTCCACTTACTATAAAGGTGCAGTTTAGTTCTGCAATTACAGACTCAAGTCCATATGTTTACATATTGTCACTGCAGTAACATTGACATGGTGATACGTGTTAGTGTGTGTTGTGCTGGTACGAGTGGATCAGACACAGCAGTGCTGCTGGAGTTTTGAAACACTGTCAACTCACTGTCCACTTTATTAGACACACCTATTTTTAAATGTAAAGTCACAGACATTGGCTCATCTGTTGCTGCACGGTGATAACAGGACACTGTTGGCTGGATATTTTTTGGTTGATGGACTATTCTCAGTCCAGGGTCCACCTCAGACCCTGAGGTGTTTAAGACCTCCAGCAGCACTGCAGTGATTTTCACCAGTAATTCTAAAATAAATGCTCTAATACATTTAGAGGGCAGCGATGTTTATTTATTTGAGTCTTTGTTGTCAGCTGCTAGTTTTCAACAGCTAGGAAACAAGACAGCTAATGAGCCAATTTGGCCACATTAGGCTTGTACTTTAATATTTGTATACAATGAACAAAAAAAGACAATTAAGTTGCTAACCATAATTTTGTATTTGAAGATTAATCATCAGTTAAAATTTCATGACTCTGACGTGCCTATACATGTCACTTCGACAATAAGAATCCACATTAAGGATTGCCATATTCATGTTCATAATTCAGCTTTGTCCACTCCTATCCAATGCTATTTAATGTAAACCTATCATCAGATTGGAATCCCCCAGATGATTTAGAAAAAGGTATATATGCTCTTTGTGTGCTTAGGCCTCATAAATGTCCCTGTGCTGCACTTTTATTACCATCAGGCACACATTCTACGGAGTTTATAGGGCATGTAAACCTGTATAGTGCAGATTCATACTTGCACTGCTGCTGTGTCTGCAGACTCAGCTCAGCTAATCCCATCACTGACCACCGCAGACCACCCACCTTCAAAGAGTTTTACGACGCTTATTACACACGCTTGCTCGCTTTAGTTTTTCTTTCTCAGACAGACTTATCAGACATCTCTCTGACACAGACACTCATAGAGAGCGACAGAGAGAGAGACTGCTGGAGAGAGAGGGTGACAGAGACAGAGGTAGGCAGATAGCAAGAAACAGAGAGAGAGAGAGAGAGAGAGACACAAACAAAGGGACAGAGGAGGCAAGAGAGAGAAAGAGACAGACAAAGAAAGAGAGAGAGAGAGAGAGAGAGAGAGAGAGAGAGAGAGAGAGAGAGAGGGAGGGACAGATAGAAAGAGAGAGCGCCAGAGAGAGAAAGAGTGGGAGAGAAATGGAGATGGAGAAAGAGCAAGAGTGGGTTGGGGACAGATCGAAAAAGAAAGAGTGCCAGGGACAGAGGTAAAGAGAGAAAGCAGGAAAGAGACAGACAGACAAAGAGAGGGAGAAAAATGAAGAGGGTGTGAAAGAGACAGAGTAAGAGTGCTGGAGAGAAGGATAGAGAGAGGCACAGTTGGACAGGGAGAGAGAGAGAGACAAACACAGAGAGAGCACATATGTTTATGGCAGTCAGAAGTGATCTAATAGAACTAATGAGAGTGCTGTGTGTGTGTGTGTGTGTGTGTGTGTGTGTGTGTGTGTGTGTGTGTGTGTGTGTGTGTATAATTGTAATTGATCGGTGTTTCTGTCTCTCTCCTCTGATTGAACAGCACTATTTCAGGAGCTATCTCAGAGCCCTGCCAGACTTTTAATAATTCAGCATGGTGACCTTCTCTTTCTGTCCAAAAAGACACACACACACCCCCACACACACACACACACACACACACACACACACGCGCACACACACACAGTGTACTCCTATTCTGACCAAAGAGCGGTACTGTGCACGTAGAGTATGTGTGTTTATTTGTGAAATTGTATCTTTCTTAAATACATACACACATACAGCTGGATGCAGAAGTTTGTGCACCCCATGGGGTCAATTTATATGAGTTGATTTTCTAAGTAAAAATAAGTTACACATCCTCTACAGTGAACAAACTTAATTGTCGCATTTTTCTGCAAATTTTAGTGCAATTTTAGTAGAAAAAATAAAATATAAAATGAGCCATAACTTTTGCACAGTCCACATTTTATGTTTTAATTTGTTTTTCAGATAATCACTAATTGTGCGTTAAAGTGTCCAGAATTGTGTTCTCTGGGAAGCAGGGGTAGGGAACTCCAGTACTAGAGATCTAGCCAGATTCCAGCACAGTTTGGTGGTTTTCCTACTGAAACACATCTGATTGAACTTAGCTAATTGCTAAGTTTAGTAAATGTGTTAAGAGAAGTAAAATCACCAAACTATGCTGGACGTCAGCCCTCTAGGACAGCAGTTTGCCACCCCTGCTATAGAGGATGTGTTAACTTATTTTCACACACAACTAATTTTTAACAAAAATAATTGTGACCTTTTGCACGCGTGATTTTTGTTTTCATCTTTTGGTTTGGTGTGAAATATATTAGTGAGAATGCTAAGCAAACCACAACCAAAATGCAGCGTTTATCATTTTCTGCTTTGGTCCGAGCCAAATGAACTGAACTACGAGTATAAATGTGTGCTTAGACACAATAGGATAGTGCACATTAATAAGGCTCATCTCGTTTATTTACAAAACAAAAAAGAGACAAATTTGTGTCTTTTCTGAGGTGATTATCAGCATGAATGTGAATTATTGTTTGATCTTTGTTAATTCTCGTTCATTTTTTCATTCATTCATTTGTTAACTTTTTTCACACAGAAAACAAATGTGGAGGGTGGGATTGAGAGAGGGATAAATGAAAGAGTTTTATGTCAGTTTTGTTATCTGTGTTCCCTCATGGTTTATATTATTAACTCAGAACTGTAATTCTGTTCAGGTGGGCTATTTTAGACAGTGTGTCGTGATGTTAGCGTTTACCCTTTGCTCTGTGTAGAACTTCTGTTCTTGCATTATGACTCATTTTGGCTTAAAAGAAAAAGAACATGCTAGACCATGATCCGTCTCTGCTTTATAGGAGTGTAAGAATGCATTCTGACACTGTGATATTATGGTACAAGTCTGTCACAGTGCATGGTGGAGAATGGACATTCTGCTAATTATGCCATCTAATACAACTGCATTGTTCGTACACCAAAGTTTGCAAGCCAGCAGCACTAGGAACCCACACCAGCTCATTCATGTCTTAAGCCGCCTGCCTCTCTGCTCTGGATACACAGCTCTTTGGCAGGTGGCTGATTTCTGTTAATTCAAATTTTGTTCACAGTATTGTGAGTATATTGAATTGTGTTTATCCCCTATCGTGAATTGAACCAAATTGTGGGCTTGGTGTATTACTGCACACTTATTGCTTTGAAGGGCTCAAATCGTGGAAAATCTAATTTTATAACTGTTTTCCAAAATGTATCATTCACCCCTGAGTCCGTATATGGAGACTTTAGCCTATAGCAATTCAGCCCCACCCACTCATGCTGAAGTTATAAGGAGTGTTTTAGCCTGAACTGCTTTTTAAATGAGACACAACACAGGTCAAAAAGTCAGAATAGAGTTCATTTACATATATCAGTCCTAAAGGCACAGCAACAAAAACTACTATGTTTTTTTTGTTTTTTTTTTCTTCTATAAAACCGACTAAGCTTCAAAATGAGCTGTATTTAATTGAAGCGCTTCAATTAAGGTAAGCTTCTAAAAGAAACAGGCTCAGACTACTGAAACACTCTACTACCCCACAGCATGATGCTGTGATATTTAAAATAAAGAAACTGTAACCAGGGAAACATTTTGCTGGTACTTAATTAGGTATTCGGATAAGCAACCTGTAGTTTGGAATGAAGAACGAAATAAAGGAATATGATCTTGTTGTTTTTAATTGTTTTTCATTTTAATGTTTTAACTCTTGCCTCTCTGTTTCTGACAGGCTCTTTAACCTGACTCTGAAGAAGCTGGTCATGTTGAAGGAGTTGGATAAAGATTTGACCTCCGTGGTCATCGCCGTCAAACTGCAGGTACCAGTGACACGTTTCGCTTTTTAACTCATCCTCATCTCTTTCATTCCTTCTTCCATTCATTTTATCATCTCTTCATCTCTGACTCAGTTTGTGTCAAAGGTCTCATAAGGATCAATGAAAGATTCCAGATAAAGTGGCCAGATCGAGAACAGCTGCTCACTTCTATTAGAAGACCTTTACTTTATTCAGCTTTATCCTTTCTTTCTTTCTTTATTTCTTTCTTTCTCTCTTTCTCTCTTTTTTGTATCTTTCTGTCATTGCCGCTTTCGCTCTTTCTCTTTGCCTATTTGTGTTTCTTTGTCTTTCATTCTTTATTTATTGGTTCTTTTCTCTGTTTCTTTTTTCTCTTTTGTCTTTATGTTCTCTCTCTCTCTCTCTCTCTCTCTCTCTCTCTCTCTCTCTCTCTCTCTCTCTCTCTCTCGCGCGCTCTCGCTCTCTCCCTCTCCCTCTCCTTCTCGCTCTCTCTCTCCCTCTCTCCCTCTCTCCCTCTCTCTCTTTCTCCCTCTCTCTCCCCCTCTCTCTTTCTCTCTCTCTCCCTCTCCTTCTCTCTCTCTCTCTCTCTCCCATCCCCTCTCTCTTTCTCTCTCTCTTATTCTTCTTTTTCTTCTTCTTCTTCCTCTCCCTCTCTCTCTCTCTCTCTCTCTCTCTCTCTCTCTCTCTCCCCCTCTCCCCTCTCTCTCTCTCTCTCTCTCTCTCTCTCTCTCTCTCTCTCTCTCTCTCTCTCTCTGTTTTTTTACCTCCTCCCTCTATTCTCTGTGAATGAAGTGTTAATAATGGAGCCCTTGCTGAAGATCTGTTACCAGAAGTGTGAAAGTTGCAAAAATATTCACCATCTGCTCTATCTTCCTCTCCCTCCCTCCCTCCTTCTCTCTCTCTCCCTCTCTTTCTCTCTCTCTCTCTTACTCATTCACTGACTCTTTACTCTTTTTTTTTCCCTCAGGGATCAAAAAGAATTCTGCGCTCAAATGAGATCTTGTTGTCTTCAGCTGGATTGACAGAGACTGACCTGCAGCTTACTTTTTCCTTACAGGTAAACACAGGCCTTATTACATATGTATTACCTTACATACATAATACTGCTATTACACTTTAATACCTATTATATTGTAAAATATCAATGTAAAATAATAATTTATTACTTTTAGAAAGTGGCTCCAATTCCAAATGTGATAAAAATATGTCATTACTAATAATTGTAATAAACCTTTTTTTTACTGAAAGTAGTACATTTTAACTGTAGGTTTGTGGTAGCCAAGCAACATAACAAAGACCTTTAAATACTTACACATTGCATGCCTATCACAATGCAATAAGCGATATTACACAATAAATCTTATATCTTATTATATAATTAAGTATTGCTTTTATAAAATTATTGCACATTACAGTATGATAAACTACACCAATGTTAAATAATTTCATTTATAATTAATAATAATAACAGTAAATTCTAATAAATTGCTTACATTTTTGCCCCAAGCAATGTAGTTCAATAGTAAGCAGTGGTTGCCAAGCAACACAAGGATCAAAGATTATTTCTAGATTATTCCTGGTTTGGCAAAAAATGTACCCAATTTTCCACTTACCTCAGATGTAGGCAATCAGCCAAGACATGTACTGGGTTCAAATTCTGCTTCCTTAATTTAGAGCAAGAGCAGCGAGGAGTATTACTAATGCTAGAACTCAGTAGTCAATAAAATAGACTGGAAGTACATCACCCAAACCTTTTTTCTTGCTCACTCAAATCCAATCCAGGTCTTCAAGTCACGCAGACTTGCAGATATAGTTTAGGACACGGTGTGACTTACCATAATCTGTGTACATGAACAAAACTGTGGACAGCACTTTTGACAACAGAGTCTGTATTTACAAACTGCTTCAGGAGTTCGAGATCTAGAATCATGATTTGTGACAATAATTGTTATAAATATGGAGGAAACTGATCCAAAATCAGTCCAGCTTTGTGAATAAGAGACCTGGTGGTGCTTGAAATGACCCGTAGTAGTAAAGTCATAATGTGCACTAAACCATATTTAGCCAAATCTGTGCGACCTTATTGCCTCAAACATCTGGATGCAGTATTTTTACATGTATTTTTGCGGAAACGCGTTGAGCTGTTTGAGTGATTGTTGAGTTCTAGTGTTAGTAACGTTAGTCTTGTAGCTTCAGACATCAAACATGTCTTGGCTGATCAGCCACATCTGAGGTAAATGGAAAATTAGGTAAATTTGATTTCTCACAAAACTATTCTAATCCTTTGCAGAATAAAATTTCTGTCATGTGTGTATTGTTCTTTTTTTTTATTTTTCTTTTCTTTTTCGAACATAGCTGAGTGACTGTCTGATATAAGAACAATTTTATATGAATACTGGATCAGTACAGATGCGTTTATGTTGATGCCCATGGTAAATAACTATATCCACTGGAAAAGTCTCTTCTTATGTTAAAGAGGAATGATTGGATTACACAGCTTAACCTTTATCATCAGAAGACATTTTAATTGCATGTTGCATTAAAGGATGTGATATTGCCCTGGAGGGAGTTGTATAAAACAAGGTCATATATTCTTGCTGCTGCTTCGCTTCTCCAGTATTAGTGCTCGTCTCATTTACAGTGTAAATCCGTTTTGCAGCAAACAGCCTGTTTGAAGTGTGCTGACACCCCTCCCTCCCTCTGTTTCTCTCTCTGTCTCTCTCTCACTCTCTCTCTCACTCTCTGGCAGTACCCTCACTTCCTCAAGCGTGATGCTAACAAGCTCCAGATCATGCTGCAGAGGAGGAAGCGCTACAAGAACAGAACCATCCTGGGCTACAAGACCCTCGCCTTGGGCCTCATCAACATGGCTGAGGTAGAATAAGATTGCTCTCTCTGATGATCTTGCTGCAATCATGAGGCCGTTTAGAGACATGCTGTTATAAGCGGAGGGTGCAAGCATGTAGCATAGTGGCTAAAACCACTGCCATCCACACAGCAGACTGTGGTTTTGAGTTCCCACCCAAGCAAGCACACAACCCTGTACCAGTAAGAGTTCATGGGCAAGACTCCTAATGCTGCAATCACCTACATCTGTAACATGATTCAGTTGTAAGTTGCCCTGAACTTTACAGGAGAAGGAAAAAACATACTTTACTTTTAATGTAAGTCAGTGGAACCAGACTTCTCTTCAAGTCATTTTGGGCCATTTCTTTTGGTCTATTCATCATGACATTTGCACACTATGTAAAGAGCGACTGGCATTTTCAAATTGTGTCAAATTATGTTTGTGCATAATCACAGTGCATCCAACAACACACAGCTGTCTTGAGTCAGTCTCTCCCTCTCCCTTTCTCTCTCTCTCTCTGTAGGTGATGCAGCACCCTACAGAAGGTGCTCAGGTGTTGGGGTTACACAGTCAGCTGAAGGACGCCTCAGTGCTGGTGGCCGAGGTCAGAGTGTATTCTCTCTCCAGCCAGCCGATTGACCACGAGGGGCCTAAAGCCAAGATGAACGGTGAGAGAGTGAGAGAGATGCCAAATGAAAGAACTGGAAGAGTGGTCACATTGATCTTTGTTAACTTCCAGGGGAAGTGTAACTGGAGTCCTTAGGTCAACACTTTTTAAGTGTGGACAATTAATAGGATAGGCAGACAGATAGAAAAACGAATCACTGTCCATCCTGTCTGTCTGTTTTTTTTTGTTAGTGTATGCTGTCTGTCTGTCCATCTGTTTGTCTGTCTGTCTATATGAATTGATCTTGTTTTGTTTTGTATTCCTATTTGCTTTCTTGCTTTATGTTCTTTTGAATTTGTCTTTTTTTTTTCTTACGTTTTTGTTTCCAGATCGGTCTCCAGACATAGATAACTACTCTGAAGAAGAGGAGGAGAGCTACTCGTCAGAGCAAGAGGGGAGTGATGACCCTGTTCATGGACAGGTTGGTGTGTGTGTCTGTGGGAGAGAGCGAGAGAGTGGAGAGTAAAGAGAGATTGAAGCTGTCAGAGAGGTGATAAGAGAGAACAGGAGGAAACAGATAGAGGAACAGGAAAAGGGAGGGAAGAGAGAAACGTGTGGAGATTTGCAAGCTGTGGCTGTGTTCAAAACAGTATACTGTGTACTGTATACTGCATACTGCAGCAGTATATACTGTATACTGCATGCTGCTCTTCATCAGTAGTATACAGTGTAGCATCCAGTATGTGACTGAAGCTGTGTTGTACCACAGGGTAGAGGTGTGACTAGACTGCCAATATCAGTGGCTGCAGGCCTGGTTCCAAAACAAAATCACTGAGAGTGCAACAGAAATAAATGAGGTTACACAAGAGTGTGTGGTTATTCAAAAATATAAAGAAATGCGCAGCTGCCATTTGTTCATAATATGACTGAAAATATGACTAAACGTTAAAGTCCATGAGATTAATATTATCTGCTTTAATTCCTTATTTGTGGAGATTACCACAAACAAAAACAAAACAAAAACCGTGCATATTCATTAGTGATGGGCAATGTGGCAAAAATGTAACATTACAATAGTTCAAGAAGTTTTCCTGATACACAATATGTCATGATATAGGAAAAGGCAACAATGATGAGAAATACTATTAAAAACTATAAATACAATAATTTGTATTAAATTGTGCTGCACCAATTCCTGTTAAACAGGACTAATCATACTCTCATTGTAATGAAATATGCAGTTGTTTTAGTGCTGGTGAGGAAGCTTACTGAGACATACTGTGATGGAATTTATCACAGTAACGATACATTTTACCATATTGTCAATATGTCTTTGATACTAAACCTTTGCTAGCTATGTTTGAGAATTTCTCCAACATCAGCAAACCTTCAAATATACTAACCATAGAGGAGGCCAACCGCAGCACAGTCTGATGTATAAGCACTATGTACATTAATTATAGTCTTCATTCTAAACTACCAGCACTGTTCTACATATCTAAAAAGCTGCTCGCTAAAGCACTGGTCTTTGGTAAGAGTTAAGCAGTGTGTGGATATATTTTGGTAAAAAGATGTGCCTGGTCATCTTTTCTTCTGGTGAAATAAGTTCAATTTTTGTTGAGTTGAGTTAAATTATTAAATCGGTGGTATATAAGCCACTCCAGTGTTCTATAATTCTGTTAGAGTCTAAAGTGTTAACAAAAGATGAATCTTTTAATTACTAAATAAAAAGTAAATACCAACATAATGATCAAATACTCGAATGTCTGAATTATGCAGGCCAGACCTGCTTATTACTTTTGGTCACAATCAGTATGCAAGCAGTATATGATAGGCTATTTTGAACAAAGCCTGTGTGTGTCAGGTATGACCTTGTAAGCAGGGGTGTGTGTGTAATCAGCGTATAATGGTTTGTGTGTTTATGTTGCAGTATCTGTATGATGAAGAGGATGAGGTGAGGAAGAAGAAACCACGGCGCAAACTCACATCCAGCGCCGCCATCACCAGAGTAAGAACACACGCGCACACACACACACACACACACACACACACACACACACACACACTGGATTGTTAGGGTGGAGGAGGATGGGGGTATTTTTTGACAAGGACACTGTGTCAGAATCTGTGAGCATGCTGAGTTTCAGTTTTAGTTTGTTTGTGTGAGAATGTGTCTCAATAGGAGCCTGTCTGACAGTGTTATTAATGGCCTTCCTACGAAGAGGCCAAAGTGGAACTGTCATTACTGAGCCAAACAGCAGGACCACACACACAAACACAACCCAAAATTCTGTAGAGTCGTACATACACTAACATTCAAAGGTCTGTAATCATTTTTTTCAGTCCCATAAAACCAATTTGCTTGTAGATAAATGTATACAATGACTTTAGTCCTGACATTATGACGTTAGTCCTGTGTAACTTCACAGCTTTCATGTAATGCATTTTCATATAGCAGCATGGATGCACCGAAATTTCGGCCATCAAAAAACTTCGCCTAAAAATGGTAAAAAATGGCAGGTTATTTAGACCCACAACTAAGGGTCAAAATCTGAAGCATATTTAAACAGTTGGATAGTTTGAACGGCAGCAAATATACAGTGAAATTGTTGGCCATGTGTAACTCTTCGATGTTTTCTATGAGGTACATTAGGCTAGAGTTTGATCATTTCTGTTCATCCTCAGTTTTAAGAGAGAATACAACACCCAAGAAGTTCTCCATTACAGGTTTGATACCACTTGAAAACACAACATCCCACTCGATATGCAGAATACAGTAAAATGTCCCTGTTAGCATGCTGATACTACCTGTAGCCTCAGTTTTTGAAATGACAAAAATATTCTTAAATGATGCCAAAATGCAAAGAATAACTAAAAATAATGGAATCAGTTGTCTTGATTGACCAACTGTTCAGTGTTATTGAGAATGTTGCATTCTCAATAACACTAACATATTCTCAATATGCATACTGTAGGATACATATTGTAATCATTTTAGTACGTTTATATTATGTAAACTGTTTTATTAAGGCAGCTGTGTTTGTATTTATTTGTCAGCACCTTCGAAATGCAACTCAAAAAGCTTGACAAAGCACAGAAAAGCAATGTTCATAAAAGAGTAAACGGCAAACAATAGGAAAAAATAGCAGGTCTATTTAATAAAAACAAGAAGGACTAAAGCAATCAGAAAAAAACAAATTTGGAAGAAAATGTTGCAGCTATCTAAGCGTTGGATCTATCTATCTGAGGTCATGAGTTCGATCCCTGGCACTGCCACAGCCGTCCGTTGCTGGGAGTCCAAGAGAGCGTAATTGGCCTCACACTCCCTGCGTTGGTAGGTTGACACCACTGAACCAGCAAAATGGATTCCAAAAATAAAAAGAAACAATAAAATGGTAATGCTAGATGCCTGAGGGATATTAATAGGTAAATCGTTTCCAGTCTTTTCACCAATCTTTTGTGTTTTATTCTGAGTTTGTTGAGAAAAACAGCACATGATGATCTTTATACTCCACTGAAGATTCACAGTAAAATCCTAAACTCATTTCTAAATAAAACATTATAATAATGCTAAAACTAGATCTGCTCTCTGTATGTATTAGTATTCTGGCAGCGGCATTGTGAATGATTTGCAGTCTGTCTATAGTGGTTTTAGGTAACTTTGTGAATAATGCATTACAGTAGTCTAGACGTGAAAAAGTAGTGCTTAAAACTGAAGAAGGGTACAGATCCATCTAACACTCAATATTTTAAACTTAAAGACACGCACACACAAATACACACACACACACACAAACACACAGGTCCATTTATCATTATCACTCAAACTGTCAGCATAATGCTTCACTTTTTATGACACGGTTTAGCACTTCTAATGGATATGAATGGAATACTAAGCTCAATTTAGCACCAAGGCAGTGACACACACACACACACATACACATACACACACACACACACACACACACACACACATACACACACACACACACACACACACACAGTACATACAGCGTGTGAGCAGTGCTGATAGTGTGTAGAGCGAGGGTTAGCACAGCAGGCTGCAAAACTCTGCAGTGTCAATGAGTGTGTTTTTGGAGGAGTTATCCATCAAGTATCAGCTTCAAGGAATTAAAACCTACCAAAGAAATGGCATTGTTTCAGGAATGAACCAGTAGTTCAGCAAGACATCAGATTTACATTGTAAGCATAGTTAGTCAGCCAAGGCCCGTTTGGTGTATGAAAACTGCTTCTTCAGTTGGTTGTGCAATCCTCATGCCTAAATCATCACATGATTCAGACTGCGTCAGGCTATTAGGTAATCTCAAATAGACTCTTAATATGTGGTCCCTGACAGTGTGTTTTTTACACTATTATCTCTAAAATTGGAGAAGAAATACATTGCATAGCTCAAAGCACTTTCAGCAGCCGTCAGAAAGCTAAAGGTAGGAGGTATACTGGTATAAAAGAGAATACTGATTCTCTTTCTGTCATGATAAAGATTTTGGCCTATCATGGGTACCGTGATAAAGGCGAACCACAAACAGCCCCACTCCTGAGAAAACAATGTGTATGGCTTAAAAAATTCTTATATATCCAACAGAAATACATTTTAGACCTGAAGCAGTAACTGCATGGCTGAGGACCACTTGTGAACAAGAAAAATGTTTTATCGCTACTCTGATTAAACTAAAAAACAATAAGCACCTAGCGATCTGAATTGCACTCTCAGTGAGCCCACACATTCACTCTGAAAAAACATAGTGCAGTGAACAATAAAGGAAGCCTCATGCTTCTTTTATACATTGATACAAAAACATGGTACTGTACTGAGAGCTCTGATACCACACACTGGTAAATTTTACTATGTGCATTGTGGACTTGCACAGAACTCCTCTGGTAGCAGATTTAAACTAGTTTCAGGGACCATCGCTGTATTATCAGAGTAGATCACGACAAGATGTTGTGTTCATTAGGGATAATCACTGTAGCCTTTCATACAGCCAGCCAGAAGCAAGACCTTGTGTAAAAGCAAAAGGATGACACCATGTTGGTGCACTCTGTGAATGAAGCAGATATTATGCTAACTGTTGAACAAGATGAGGAAGCACGTAATGGCTTGTCAAATCCAGGGAATCGTGAGTTGCCTTTATTAGATTCAGCACAGTCAAACTATTCACCACCTAAATTGTCAACCAGCTAAATAAGTGCAGTTTAAAATTAAAATGCGAAATGGAATTGAGGATGAGCAGGGAGGAAAAAACAAACAGGAGGAGGAGTTGTGGAAGAGAAAGATATAAAACTGGTCCAGATAAAGGGAACTGAGGAAGTTACTAGATTGCCTGTCAGCATTTGCACAATAAAGAGGAGAAAGTTAGCTGCAAACTAACTGTCTTGCAGTGTTTTATAAATGAATGCTGTCTACTTGAATAACTTTGAAGGGCTTTGATGATGATAGTAGTAGTAGTAGTTGTTGTTGCTGTTTATGAGAATTCACATTATTGTCTGAATAGTAGAAAATACCACAATATGGAGTTTTTGTCTTCTACCCCTACAGGCCTATGAAGACTAATTGTTTATATCTGCCCTTTTTTTCCATTTTTATAGATGGCAGTATGGTACAGTGTGAGAAACCACTTCTAGCAAGTCTAACATGAGCAAACAATTTTCTCTGAGGTCTCTCTGATGATTTTTATCTCTTATTTTATCTAAATGCACTGATTCTGTTCTGTTTCCGCAGCAACCCAACATCAAGCAGAAGTTTGTGGCTCTGCTGAGGAGGTTTAAAGTTTCGGATGAGGTAACTGCTCTTCCTCTTCATGGTCATTCTATCCTGCTGTATCAGTGTTGATCAGCTAAAGCCCTGCAGAGCCACAGCCCTCACCACGTCATTGTTTTCCAGTGTCATCCCTGCACAAACACCTCCTTAGTTCTGCTCAGTTATTTTCTGGTGGGTTTGTAATGAGGTGTGTTGCAGCAGGAAAAGTACTATATAAAAAATATGATCTCTAAGCACTGCCATATAAGAAAAACCTCCCTAAAGAACTGTATTTGAAAAAGACATTTATGAGTGTGAACAGCCTTTTGAAGATTTAAAGAACCTTAGTGTAATACAAGGTTCTATATCAATATGAACTTTTTTCCTAGAACCTCTAGAAGTTCTTTAAAAAGTTTATAAAGCCAAAAAAGACTCTTTAAAGAGCCATCCACAGAAAAATGCTTTAGGGAACCAAAAGTGTTTCTTCCATGACATTGTGCAAAGAGTGCACTGAGTGCAGTGGCTCTGCAGGATCCTCTTCTGTGTGCTTTTTCCTCTTTTACTCATTTTCTGCTATTTTAACATGCTATCTTTAGCAAAGTAAAAACTGTCATTGTTGATTTTCTAAGTGAAAAGATGTTAACACATCCTCTACAGAGAACACACTTCTGCACAGTTTAATACAAAATTACTGTTTTTTATTAAATCTTGCATTGTGGAGGGAAAAAACTAAATATGCACATTTTATGTTTCACGTTCTATTTTTATATGTTAAAATCATGCAATATTTAAGTTTGTTCCCTGTAGAGGATGTATTAACTTATTTTCACTTAGACATTTAGTTACATATCAGTTTGTCATTGTTAGCTGTCGCCTCCTGATGTTGGTCCCTACTTGTCAGAACAAATTTGTACCTCTGTGTATGACAAACACTAAAGAAATTACAGTAAGACATCTGTTTAAAACATTAAGAGGTAAAAGAAAACACGCCATCACCCTTCTTCTTCCCTCCCTCCCTCCTTCCGGCCACCCCCCCCTTCACGTTATCTTTGTGCTCTCTGCGACACTGATAAAGGCTTAGTCTGATAGTGAACAGTGAAGGTCATAGATTGCCTCTGTGTTATTTGTGGTGTGTGTGTGTGTGTGTCGGATGTGTGTGTGTTGTGTGGGATGTGTGTGCGTGTAGGTGGGGTTTGGTTTGGAGCATGTGTCTCGGGAGCAGATTCAGGAGGTGGAGGAGGATTTGGATGAGCTGTATGACAGTCTGGAGATGTATAACCCCAGTGACAGCGGTCCAGAAATGGAAGAGACCGACAGCATCCTCAGCACACCAAAGCCTAAACTCAGGTACATGAACACTGCACATACATGCAGATAAATACGTGCATACATGCATCCATATTTCCATACATACACTACAGGACAGAAGTTTGGAAGCACCATCAGCATTGTAAAAATAAACATGAACAATGCATTTCTCCATAAATAGTGAATTCAAATGTGAATTTATTCATCTAGTAAATGCCATTTATTGGAGACTTGTATGTGTTATTTGTCACTCACAATATTTCTCTCACCAAAATAAAAATATTTAAAAAGTGGAATGGTATATGTCAGCATTTAACAGGCACCTATAGAGTAGTTAGGTTCGGTAGAGTTAAGATTGGTAAGGCTGTTTGTCTTGCCTAAGGATTACAGGGGTGTGAAAAAGTGTTTGCCCCCTTCCTGATTTCTTATTCTTTTGCATGTTTGTCACACTTAAATGTTTCAGATCGCCAAACAAATTTAAATATTAGACAAAGATAACACAAGTAAACACAAAATGCAGTTTATAAATGAAGGTCTTTATTATTAAGGGAAAAAGAAATCCAAACCTACAGGGCCCTGTGTGGAAAAGTGATTGCCCCCCCGTTAAAACATACATTAACTGTAGTTTATCACATCTTTGAAAAGCTGAGTTCAATTTCCCTAGCCACACCCAGGCCTGATTACTGCCACACCTGTTCTCAATCAAGAAATCACTTAAATAGGACCTGCCTGACAAAGTGAAGCAGACCAAAAGATCCTCAAAAGCTAGACATCATGCTGCGATCCAAAGAAATTCAGGAACAAATGAAAAACAAAGTAATTGAGATCTGTCAGTCTGGAAAAGGTTATGTAGCTATTTCTAAAGCTTTGGGACTCCAGCGAACCACAGTGAGAGCCATTGTCCACAAATGGCGAAAACATGGAACAGTGGTGAACCTTCCCAGGAGTGGCCAGCCAATTAAAATTACCCCAAGAGCGCAGCGACGACTCAACCAAGAGGTCACAAAAGACCTCACAACAACATCCAAAGAACTGCAGGCCTCACTTGCCTCAGTTAAGGTCAGTGTTCATGACTCCACCATAAGAAAGAGACTGGGCAAAAATGGCCTGCATGGCAGAGTTCCAAGACGAAAACCACTGCTGAGCAAAAAGAACATAAAGGTTCGTCTCAGTTTTGCCAGAAAACTTCTTGATGATCCCCAAGACTTTTGGGAGAATACTCTGTAGACTGACGAGACAAAAGTTGAACTTTTCGGAAGGTGTATGTCCCATTACATCTGGCGTAGAAGTAACACACCATTTCAGAAAAGGAACATCATACCAGCAGTAAAATGTAGTGGTGGTAGTGTGATGGTCTGGGGCTGTTTTGCTGCTTCAGGACATGGAAGACTTGCTGTGGTACATGGAACCATGAATTCTGCTGTCTACCAAAAAATCCTGAAGGAGAATGTCCGGCCATCTGTTCGTGACCTCAAGCTGAAGCGCACTTAGGTTCTGCAGCAGGACAATGATCCAAAACACACCAGCAAGTCCACCTCTAAATGGCTTAAGAAAAACAAAATTAAGACTTTGGAGTGGCCTGGTCAAAGTCCTGACCTGAATCCGACTGAGATGCTGTGGCATGACCTTAAAAAGGCAGTACATGCTTGGAAACCCTCCAATGTGGCTGAATTACAACAATTCTGCAAAGATGAGTGGGCCTAAATTCCTCCACAGCGCTGTAAAAGACTCATTGCCAGTTATTGCAAACGCTTGATTGCAGTTGTTGCTGCTAAGAGTGGCCCAATCAGTTATTAGGTTTAGGGGGCAATCACTTTTTCACACAGGGTCCTGTAGGTTTGGATTTCTTTATCCCTTAATAATAAAGACCTTCATTTATAAACTGCATTTTGTGTTTACTTGTGTTATCTTTGTCTAATATTTAAATTTGTTTGGCGATCTGAAACATTTAAGTGTGACAAACATGCAAAAGAATAAGAAATCAGGAAGGGGGCAAACACTTTTTCACACCACTGTATGTATCATTGTTAGAAGAAAAAAGTTAAAAAGCTGTTTTTTTGGCTGTAATGAGACAAACATGAAACAGCTTGTATTCCTGCCAAATTACTGACTCATCAAAGAACACCTTTGAGTATAGTTCAGAGCATTTAGCCATTGCAGTGTGAAACCAGCTGTACCAACTTAAAAGCGTACAATGTCAAAAAACAAACTCTTGTGTAGATTTTAGCAAATTAAGAAGCAGTGAGTCTCAAAGTGCTCCCTAGTTCAGTAGATAGAGTACTGCCCAGACAATCGGTCATTGTCTAGGGAGTCCCATTGTCAGAATCAGCTGTTCACTGTCCTCCCTGCCCGGAAATAGTCATGTCTCCAGCTCCATGTATGTTCTCTCACCTGCCTCTCCACCTCAAAAAATGTAATATTTAATTTTCCTATTTGTAAATTAAACAACTACCAACATTTAAGGCTTTTGCTCTTGCAAGACACTTGTCACTATTAGTTTTCTACTGAAATGAACTGAAATGATCTTAGTAACATGTTAGCTACTTAGCTAACTAGTTGCATTTACAGTTTACGTATAGGCGTTGGTATTAATGTTTACAGTTAACTATCTACTACCTACAAAATAATCTACAACATGCTGTACATTACGAGCACTGTGCTTTATTTATTAATTTCATGAACAACGTATGACATAACAGTAGGGTGACCTGCTAAATTTAGATCTTTACTGAAAAGGTCACATTTAAATGTGAGTGGGATATTTTGAAAAACCTCTTTTTTGGTTAAACTAGATGTGACAAAACATTTCATGTTTGTGTTGGTATAACTGACATACTACATATATAATTGTAAAGCATTTTTGAAGGTTAAATATGGCTTTGATATGTTTGCATACAAAGCCTACAGTACATACAAGTCCACATACATACCTACATTTGTACATACATATGCAGTCATACAGATGCACAATCCCAGTGTATAGTGTGCCCTCTGGTGGTGAGGATGAGCGTAATGTCCTTGGCACAGTAACCTCTAGCACACCATCATTAGCAAAATCACTATAATCAGTGAATAACTCAGTCTGTTTAAATCAGTATAATCAGCCTGAATGAAGTCCAGTCTAAACAAACCCACTCTGCTTAATTTTAGACTCTGGATGCTGTTCTAAACAGAACATCTCGCTGGCATGTAAACACGACACTATCCAGCACTCTCTAATCCTGAGAGCACGGCCAAGTCAGCTCAAACTCTTTAAACAAAATCTGACACTCTTGCAGTCAGCCGTGTCTGGGGCTGCAGCTGTGTTTGCCTGTAGAGCAGTTTTAAGGCTCTCACAGAAATAATTTGGTAAAAAATGTACATACTTTTAGCTTTAATCCAAATTATGATCAGACAAGACATATTTGCTGCCTAAAATTTGCTTATTGGTTTTGCACTGGAGCTATGGAGCTATCTAATAAAGGGATGTAATGCATACCAATTAGCATCATGTAGTTTACATGTCTAAATCATCACACAGGCCTCAATCTGTGCCTTACTGTTAAGTAAACTCAAATAGACTTGCTTATTGTGGCCTCTGACACCGTGTCCCGTACTGTCTTTAAAATATGTGCATAGCTTAAAACAGTAGTAGTAGTAATTGTCAGGATGGTGCAACTATTCAACCATATATGCAGATTAATTCATCTTTTCAAAAAGGGTATTTTAGTCATTTAAAAATCTAAATATAATAGATGATATTATGTTTTCAATTTTTTTTTAAATAATTACAGTTGACAGAATAGGGCAGATTTTAAAGCATTCAACTCATTTCCTCAAATGTCATGCAGCGCAGCTGATAACAAAAGACTTTTATTTTGATTGTCCAATCACTCTTAAAAGCAGTGTATTGCACCGTAAAGAAGTGACCTAGTTTGAAAGTGTAATATTTTCATTAATTTTTTGGTTGCACTTCTTGACATTTTCTGGGTGCTAAAATGTTTACCCAGGATAAAAAATAAAAACATTTCATCCTGGTTAAAATACTATTATTAAAACTGTAAAACAAATATCAGTACATTAAATAGATTTTTGCAGATACAAAAACGCACCACAGTGTTTCAGTATAGCAGTTAGTGTAGCTTTGTATGATGTAGTTCATCTGTAGCTTTCTAGATCACTTTATTCTGCATTGGTGAGGTTTTAATGTGTGATTTTGTTTGTGCGCAGGCCGTTCTTTGAGGGAATGTCTCAGTCCAGCTCTCAGACTGAGATCGGCAGCCTGAACAGCAAAGGAAGCCTGACCAGAGACCCTTTCAGCCCTGTGAGTGAGAGAGTGAACCTCTGTTATATCAGTATGTGAGAGAAAGAGAGAGATTGAGTTTGGAAAGGGTAAAGAATGGAAGGATTAGTGAAATGAATAAAGAATGGAGGATGGAAGGATGAGGTGGCGATAAAGGGATGAAGAAGGTAAGGGAGAGGGATGGCAATTATAGGTGGGAGGATTTGAGGAGATACGAAAGCACAGCCACTCTGTGAATAAAGCACATAGGCAGTGTAAGTGCAAGGCCATTTACAATGGTTTCTCTTATATATAAATGAATCCAGAACTAAAAAGATTTCAGTTTAAGTGCAGAGTTTAACCATCCATGCTCCACCCACACGCATCCTTTCATAGCAACTGTTGTGAACTGTATTTGGAGTGCGCTGTGTAATGACGACAGTAATGTTGCCACCACACCGGTGCGTCTGTCAAAGCCACTCCATATGAACTATAAAGAGCTCTGTTTTGTTTTAACATCCTGTTGTTTAGTCAAAAGCGGCTTATGTGCTGTACTTTCAAGCTGACGGCTATGCTGTAATGATGAGTCAGTTTAAATGCCACCACACCAGTGAAGCGCACATATGTGCGTTTTAACTGCCTGTTCTAATCAATGAAGTGTCAATGCTTAATGTTATCACCCGGAGCACAAGCCTAAAATATTATTTATGTCTGGGTGGATCTGTTTTACCGTACTGTGCAAAAGTCAGAGACCACCCTTTCATTTATTTAATTTCTAGTCAAAAGTTATTAAGTTATGGTGACTGATGTTTTCCAGAGGATATTGCATGACATTAAAATTTTTTTGGGAGGCGTTTTGCTGCCCTTGCAGCTTCCCTTGACCACTATGGCCACACATCTTCACAAGATACTAGAATGAAATTATATTTATTTTGTAATAAGGTAGATTGAATGTAGATATTTTTGTCTTGTGAGGCAAGTCTATGTTAGCTTGATCCAGATCCATTGTTGTTGTTTCAAAGTTGCCTAGTTTTGATTATCTTCAAACTAGCTACTATAGCTATGAGTCCAGCCTGGTAGCGTAGCAGTTTAAATCGGAAACTCAACAGTGTTTAGTGAATCTAAACAGATGTTATCACAGTTTCTCATTGAGTTGAATGGAATTGTTGCTAACATTCTGCAAAGTTTGTTCAACCGTGCAGCACTTGTTATGAAAAAGTGGAACATGGTTAGGTAAATCCCACTGACTCCCACCAGCAGTGTAATTCAGTTCACTGCTGTGCCAGAAAAACAAAGCCCTTCATGTTCAATCTGCTAACATCGCAGAGTGAAGTGTTGGACATTGTTTTAATACACTTTAGCCCAAACTCTGCCAGCAGTCAATACTGAACAGGCCAGTGGCCAATAATGTCTGTTTCTATGTTAGCAATTGGAGAGTATGATCATTTCTTGTCATGATATTAGTGACAAAAATGATCACAGTTTTTGGTATTTAGGGTGCAGTGTTACAGTATACTGAAAATGTTTAAAGAAGGTCCCGATACGTTTTAAAATCGCTTCACAACATGTATTATATTGATAAACTTGAATTTATTGAACCTCTTGTAATTAAAAAAAAATCTCCATACTTTAGTCCCTGCCTTCTCCATTCATTAATTAGATTTCCCTTTATCACACAATGCTAAACAGCTGAGAGATTTAAGGCTAGCGTGTGCTTCCTCTGATACACATTGTATTCAAACCTTATGTATTTTTATAGCACCAAAAAAATTAACTACAAAAAAGCAGCTCCCTCCACCATGCTTTTCACGAATCAGTGTGCCGCCAAACATGCTTCTCTTTGAAAGGTTAGAAACTTATTAATCCGAAACTAAAAGCCAAATTATCATTTCAAGCATATTTGAAATCACTGTTAAAATCTGACCATAATTGCATAATTATTTTATAGCATTTGGCTCAAATAATGCACAAAAATACATTTTTCAGCGTGTTCTGACTACTGCGCGTATCTCTACGTCGAGGGGAAGCTTTTCCCGCTTGCAGCTTTACCAGCAAGCTGATTGGCTCATTTTATTGACTCTGCCGTGTTGAGTACTATGAGCTTTCCCATTCATTTTCCAACCAGTGGCCTGTCTCCTCTTTTGTGACATCTTTGACACACATTACACGTTGCAGCTGTATTATTCTAGCACATGCTTTGCCAAGAGAATACGGCAGTGGGCAATTTGCTTCCACTGTGATTATATCCACTGCGACCCAGAAGGATAAGCGGTTTAGATGATGGATGGATGGATGGATGGATGTGATTATATTAATATATCCAGTTATCAGGATTATTAAAATTTGAAACAGTATGATTTCATAAGGGATGTGCACAGTACTTGAGTGCTCTTTTAACCGTTAAAGGTGGCAGTATTTGAAAACTAATATTACTGTTCAGGTATTCGTTATGTTTCATTGCAGGAAGACAGAGAAAATATACAGACTGATAATTAAATTCATGAGCTCGTATGGATCCTCATATTAAAATTAACCAGGATGCACGTCCCTAGATTTCATGCAGTGATATATAATTAACACTAGTAACCGTCCCATCCCTACTCAGCATCCAGCAATGGAATATTAATAGTGGTCAGGTTCACTGTTAATGTCTTTATGTGAAGAAGGGTTTGAAATGGTGAAGTGTGCGTGTGGACTGAGTGTTGACTGCAGCTTTCCATGTTTCTCCAGCAGGGGGAGCAGCCGCCCTCTGATAAAATGAAACACTCCCGCAGTCGCAACCTGGAGGAGACTCAAACGGAAACAGACACACTGGTGAGACACTGGCCTACACCAAACACACAGACGTTAAAGATGGGTGAAATGGCAAAATGTAACCCCACAAAGCTCTCTTTATAATGAAACATGCAGCATTTCAGGTGGTTCCTCAAGAAGCTGCTTGAGAGAACACTCAATGTGTAGAACTGTGTCAAGGCTAAAGGGGAGCACTTTGAAGAATGTAAAATTTAAGATAATTTGTTTTTTATGTTCAATGCATAATTTCATATTGAGCAGTTTTATATCTTCACTTTAATTCTGAAATAAGCAAGATAGTAGGCTAAAGATAAGAAAAAATAATACTATGAGTAAGTTTGCCAATATTTTAGACTGGTAATGTTTTAATAGAGTTAGAAAAGTGTATGGTGATGCAATATTTAATGATTGTCTATTTCTTCCTATTATTTATTGCTAACACACACAGATGTGTTAGTGAATTCTCGTAGCTCATACTAGTAATTTGGCCTGTCACAATCATGAAATTTTAGCTGATGATTAATTGCCATATAATTACAATTTAACGTTTGTCTTTTTTTCCTTTTTAACAAGTAAAGTACAAACCTAATGCATATGATTTGGCTGATTAGGTGTTTTGCTTTCTAGCTGTCAATACTTAGTGGCTTCTATCTAATGACAGTAACAACATAAGCACAAATAAACAAACATTACTCACTGCCGCCCTCCACCTAATGGATGAGAATGTATGATTGAGGAAGCTAACAATTGTGAAACATTATTGCCATCAGCTTAAATAATTGTGATCAGGTGATTTATGTAATAGATGTGACCATTCTAATATGAATCATCTGTAGTAATTAAGATAAATGCATGTATGTGTGTGTACGTTTAGGAGATGAATGATCAGGAGCTGTTTACGGACGTTGCCCCTGCCATCACTGTGTCGGTGGCTGAGAAACCCCGTACACCTCTGAAGAGCAGCAAGAGTGAAGGTCAATCCATGCCCTCTCCCAGGTCAGAACAGTGAAGCAGTCATGGACATGAAGTATCTTTAAACGGTCATTAGGACCTCAGATCCTGATGATACAAATGTCTGCAAAACATGTGTACATGTGTTTTAGAATGGATGGGGCACACACTCCCCGACAGAAGCGCAGTACTCCAATGAAGGAGCGGCAGCTCTCTAAACCGCTGAGTGAAAGAACTAACAGCTCAGACAGCGAGAGGTCACCTGAACTTGGACACACTACACAGGTAGCCCTTCACACGTATACACTGGTCTCATCATTTGTCATATTAATAATGTTTGTTATTTTTTATGCAGTGCTAATTTTTAATTGCAAGCTATAACTTTATTTGTTATTTTTTGCAATATTTTAGTTGCAAGTTATTAAATGATAACTTGATAAAAAATAATATTATTTATCTGCCTTGAGGTTAAGAGATAGCTCAATACCACTAGACTGTAACTTTAGCTTTAAAATGAGCCATTTTTAATTGAAGCACTTCACGTAAGCATCTATCATCACAGGAAGAACTACACAGCTAACTTCATCCCTCTAATACCCAAGTCAGTATTTTCTGCTGATATTGGGCCAAGAACGATATCTGGCTCTGTTTGTTCTTGGCCCATCTTACTGACTGACTGTCTGTCTGTCTGTCTGTCTATCAACTATTTAATTAATAAATAGTTTTCTGCGGATAATTTGAAACCTGTTACACTGACTTTGAATAACATATTTGAATCAATTTATATATGTATCTGCTACAGAACCTATTTTATTTTCTAAAAACATTGATTCCATAATAGTGAACAGTAGAGAATGTACACAAACAGACATCACGAGCACTAGAGCTGGCCTTCATGCTCCTGATTTTCTCCTACCAAATGTCATATTGCGCCTTCCTTTTCTCTTTTTCTTTCCCTGCCTTATCTGTTCTCTCTCTCTGTCTCAGTGGAGGAGGAGTGGGAGAGCAGCTAAATAAGGAATGTTAATGCACTGTTTCATCTTGTTCCACAGATTCAGCTTGAATTATTAATGTTTGGCTGAGTCATCTGAATCTAACCTCACTGTGTGTGTGTGTGTGTGTGTGTGTGTGTGTGTGTGCGTGTGTGTGTGTGTGTAGGTGCTCAGGAAAGCTGTGTATGATCAGTTGAACCAGATTTTGTTGTCTGATGCTGCACTACCCGAGAGCGTCATCCTTGTTAATGGCACAGACTGGCAAGGCCAGGTACGTGAATGTGTGGTGATTACACTAAATGCACTTTAATACTCTAATTATAGAGGCTGCAGTGCCATGCTGGTGTGTTTACTTAATCCCAAGAGCTTCAGTGTAGCCTTTTGTATGTGTGAAAAGGTGTGTGTGTGTTTTTTCATACATTGTTAGGACAAAAAGCCTAACCAGAGAAAATTAACCAGAGAAAACCAGAGAAAATTATGGCTTACCTACAGCAGCAAATAAAGATATTTTATTTCTCTGTCGTTTCTGTTACCATTTTTTTTTGGTTACTAAGGTTAAGGTTTGGATTAGGTTAAGCCTAAAAAAAAATCCTATCACACATAGGTACTTGTGTGTATATATATTATACCTATGTCACATTTTTATTATTACATATAGGTACTTAAATACAGTAATACATATGGAAAGTTATTATTACATATAGATATTTACATATTGCTGCTGTTGGAACAAAACCTTGTATCCCCTCAAAATATAATTACCTTACAGGAGAAGGAAGAAATGTTCTTACCTTTCAATGCAAGTTAATGTAGAAAGATTTTATTGTACATCATTTTTGACCATTTCTGTTTAAATTGTAACACAATGTAATATGTCATTTTGAGATTTTGGGATATTTTTTTTTTAAATGTTTTTTTTGTGACAGCAACTAAATAGATTGTGTGTGTGTGTGTGTGTGTATGTGTGTGCACACAAAGTGTAGATATTATAGAAATACTTATATATAATTCATATGGGACATATTATATTTTCAAATAGGTACTTACTTATTCAGTATACATATGAGACATATATGATCTTGTCCTAACATTATATTCAGTATCTGTGTGTGTGTGTGTGTGTGTGTGTGTGTGTGTGTGTGTGTGTGTGCGTGCAGTATGTAGCAGAGCAGTTGCAGGTCCAGAAGCACCCGGTCGTGTGTACGTGTTCAGCAGCAGAGATACAGGCTGTGCTCTCAGCTGTTCTTACTCGCATACAGAAGTTGTGAGTCCCTGTCTCAAACTCATCATTCTTCACCTTTTATACAGTGTCTCATTTTTAAAATCAACACTTTGTCTCTTTCTGGCTCCCTCTCCCTCCCTCCCTCCCTCCCTCCCTCCTCCCTCTCTCCCTCCCTCCCTCCCTCCCTCTCTCTCTCTCTCCTCTCTCTCTCCCTCCCTCCCTCCCTCTCTCTCTCTCTCTCCCTCTCTCTCTCTCTCTCTCTCTCTCTCTCTCTCTCTCTCTCTCTAGTTGTAACTGTAACTCGTCCATGCCACGGCCGGTGAAGGTGGCAGTGGTTGGAGCTCAGAGTTATCTGGGTGCAATCCTGCAATTCTTCGTCAGTCAGCTCGCGAATAAAACATCTGACTGGCTCAACCACATGCGCTTCCTTGTAGTTCCTCTGGGTAAGCAGACAATGTGTTGACAAAATTCTGGCTTTAGAGTAGCTTCTTAAACTGTTATTATCTATGCATGTTTTTCCTTTTTATAGATAGCAGCATGTCATACAGTGTAACAAACAACTTAAGCATGTCTGTTTTGACATTATTGAACAATGCAACGCGTTAAGCTTGCAGGTTACACAGTGCTAATTAGTTGGATAAAAGCTTTCATTACTTGTTAGCTACATCAGCCTCTCAGCAAACTCCACATACCAAATATGTCTTGGCTGGTCAACAATATTCAGGGAGAATGTATAAATCATTTTTTTGTCAAGCTGTCACTTTAATGAAGTGTCAAGTCATTGTGATGGAATCTTTGTGAAGAAAATAGCTCATTTCAGTTGAATTATATATGTAGATAATTTTAGATGGGCCACCCAGCTTAACTTCTGTCTATTTAGTTTATCTATTTTTGAACATGTATTTACTTTCTCTGTCCAGGTTCCCATCCTGTTGCTAAGCACCTGGGTGCCCTTGACAACCGCTACAGTTCTGCCTTCCTGGATGGACCCTGGAGGGAGCTGTTCAGCCGCTCCGAACCGCCACAATCAGGTACGTCCACACAAACTCACATTGATTTTACAAACTCATACGAACCTACACATTAAATGCGCACACATGCACAAACTCTACATCAATTGCATAAAATCAGTACATAAATTTTGCTAACTGCAAAAGTGAACTGAGAGAGATCTGGCAAGTATTGAACGATGTAGGATTTCTTTAGTATGTTGGATAACTTGAGCGTTTACTTTTGTTCATTTGAAACGTACCTCATCTCTTCTCCTATTAAACATGCTCAGTTTTTGGTTATCTGAGAAACCTTAACAGCTTGTGTCCTAGGCACTTAAACATTCTGCCCCAATTCATTTTCAGTCCAGATAGCAGAATAACAAGTGACGAGAACATGACTAGCACTGAAGCAAGTTAAGCTGAATTGGTTTCGAGTTACAGATTACAAGTGGCAGCCGCTTAGCGATGATCAGTCAGGCAAAAGCAACTGTATATCGTGAGCCTATATAGTTCCGTCTGGACAAAAGCTCTTGAATTAAACATTGGAAGTTCCCGTGCTTCTTGCTGACAAATAGAATGGGGAGTTCGCAGTGCATGTAGAGCACAGCAGCTGCTGCAACCTTGTTCTCTTACTTGGATGCCTGGTGTAGCTTATTAGGACTGTCAATATCTGTATCTGTAATTTAAAAAAGTCCATTTTCAACAGGAATTAGAAGCTGCTGCAAAAAGACTACTTTTAAGTCTGTCATACTTCACAGAAATATTTAATTCAGGAGGCCTATTTTTAGAATCAAGTTTCTAAGACTAACCTACTTAAAGTGAAATTCCACTGATTTTTTTTTTTTTAATTTCTGCATAATTCAGTAGTTAGGATGTGAACATTCAGAGTGTTTGATGTGAAATGATTTATTATAGAGAAACATTGTAGATGATATACAACCATTTTATTCACTAAAACCACCAGTGAACCTACACTTGTCTTGTGAGTTTTTATGTGTAATGCTGATAATGATTTCTTAGGGGGCTATTTTGCCTTACAGCTCCCTACATGTACCTTTCTACTGTGAGTGGTTTTTAGAAATACGTTCTGGGCTAAATATTATTGTAAAACTGTCAGAGAACAATGTCCATAGCATTAAGCAGCTTGTTCAAAAACATTTTGTGTTATAAATTTGTGTGAGGGAGCTTTTAGAGAAAAAGGTTACAGACATCTGGTTCCTATTTACATTTACAGCATTCAGCAGGCGCTCTTATCCAGAGCGACTTACAATTTGATCATTTTACACAGGTAGGCGAAGGTGGTGTTAGGAGTCTCTTATTGGTATAGTGTAGGGTGCTTACCCAGATGGGGGATTGAACCCAAGCCTACAGCGCAGAAGGCAAAGGTGTTACCCACTACACTATACCAACCACTACTACTGGTTCCTATCACCACCACTGTGAACAATTCTGAACAATTCTCTCTCTCTCTCTCTCTCTCTCCCTCTCTCTCTTTCTCTCTCTCTCTCTCCCTCTCTCTCTCTCTCTCTCTCTCTCTCTCTCTCTCTCTCTCTCTCTCTCTCCTTCTTTCTTTCTTTCTTTCTTTCTTTCTTTCTTTCTCTCGCTCTCGCTCTCGCTCTCTCTCTCTCCCTCCCTCTGTCTCTGTCTCTATAGATGTATTGGACGTGGCTGGGCGAATAGCTCAGTACATCAGCGAAGCCACACTAACCCACCAGCTGCCCATAGCTGAAGCTATGCTGACCTGTAAACACAGGACGTGAGTGGACCAACGCCTGTCCTTCTCGAGCCTCACTAAGGCTTTAAACACCTGGGTCTACAGATAGAAACAGAGCCGGAGACAGAGAAAAAAATAAAACTGTGCAAGACAGTATATGTTCAATAGTTTGCAGACATCTGCTCAATTAACCTTCTTTTTTAATGCGAGGGTATTAATAGGGAGTTTGTCCCCCTTTGCTGCATAATAGCCTCTACTTTTCTGGGAAGTATTTACATTAGAACATTGGAACATTGCTGTGAGGATGTGGTTGCATTCAGCCACAAGAGCATTGGTGAGTTGGGGTACTGATGTTGGATAATTAGTTCTAGATCTTAAACTCCACTCCAACTCATCCCAAAGCTTTTGGGGTCCATCAACCCAGAGAATACAGTTCTTCTGCTCCACAAGTCTATGTTGGGGTGCTTTATATCCCTCTAGCTGACGCTTGGCATTGGGTATGGTGGTCTTAGCCTCATGTGCGGCTGCTCCAGAATGCCTCATTTTACTGACAGTGCTTTTCTATGGGAGATCATACAAGCTGTGTGCGCAATTGAATGCCTGTGTTGCTCAATTCATTAATTAGAAGGAGTACTTGGATACTTTTGGATGTGTAGTGTATATTAGTATATCTATAAAAATACAGAATTAGACACCTTAAATAATGTTGTGGGTTAACAGTTATAGCTTCTGCTCACCTTGAGCTAAACTCTTAGCTTAGTTTTAGCACAATCTGCCATCACCCAGTGCTCCACAACTGACAGATAATCTGTAAATATGAACAAATATGATTAAATATGAAATCAGATAACTTAATACTATTACTGACTACAGCAGATGGGTGATGTGTATTTTATATGTTAGCAGATAAGTTGTAATTATGTAGAAACTTGGAATACTCGTTATCTGTTATCTTAGTTTGTCAATGCAGTTTTATGATGGTTGTTTTATATATGGTTACTTCCTTCTCACCTCTCTCTGGCAGGCGGGATGAAGATTCCTATCAGAAGTTTATCCCTTTTATTGGCGTGAGTGACTGTTAGACATATTATGATGTGACATAATTAGACAATCACTGACTTAAGCCCTATTCAGATGGGATTAGTTTTCCATGGGGAGGTGCAGTAATGCCAGTTTTACCACAGGACGTCTATAATGTTTATGACCAATTCACAGAGGATAAGAAAATCTCTGTATAAATGACAGAGATAGGATTGGCTACTTGATTTACACATGCTGCCTTTACTTCAGAAACAAGCAGAAAATGTTGTTTACCCTAACCATTTACCTTGCTGTCTTAAATGGACAAGGTGTGTCATTAGCATTGTCATTAGCTTGGGAATTCACAGCAAACAGTCAACTTCACTACATAAAATTTTTCGATATTTTTTTTTTCTGTCATTTTTACGTGTTCTGAGTTGTACCTGTGAGACAGTAAAGTTACATGCCTTGATTTTAGCTGGAGAGAACAGAAGTAAACGCTTATTTGAGTTTCCACAAGATATGATAGCATTTTTTGACGGACATGTCGATTCGCATGGGATTAATGTAACCTGAGGTTGTTTTTATGGCTCAGTTTATGGAAGCTAAAAGGCAGCAGAATCTTTACTGAAGCAGGAGTGTGCATTCGTTAAAAAAGACTTACATGCCGCATTTAGACAGGACTAAAATCACTGAGAAACACCATAATTAAGTTAATGATCATAATTAAGTTACCCCATCTCCTCATGTAAAACTAACCTCGGTCAAATAGGGCTTTAGAAAGTATCATTAACCTTAAAATGTTTTGCAGGTGGTCAAAGTGGGGCTGATTGAGCCGGGCCAGTCGTCTACAGGTTAGTGTGACCGTGATTGCTTTTTTTGCATTTCCGTTAATGAGTTATACATGTAAAAACATTAAATTGTTAATTACAGTTAAGGAACATTTTTATAGAGATATATTCCTAATTTTATGTGAAATGGAAAACATGGAATAAATTACTGATTATATATATTTTTTTAATTGTATTTTAACTTTTAATGTAAGTTTTAATGTAAATTAATGTAAACAGATTTGATTCCAAGTCATTTTGAAGCATTTCTGTTGGTCCATTCATCATGGCTAATAGAAATGCTCTCAAATTATTTGGAATAAAATCTGTTTACCTTAATTTACATTAAAACGAAAGAACGTTTATAAAGTTGCCGTTTTGGAGAAGAGAAGAATAAGGATGATATGTAAATTAAAAAATTTAGCTGTAATGTTCTTTTGTGTCTGTTAGGTGATGGTGAAGAGGGTGTGGCTGTGAATTTGGCCGTCCCCTCGACATCTCCACCCTCCCACAGTTCTCCTGCCAGTCTTAAAGAGACAGCAACGCCCCCTTCCTCTCCTTCTATGGGTGCAGTTTTAGCAGTACAAGGGTGAGTGTTCACTAAACTCCAGCCATTATTGGCCAGGATTTGCAGAACGATTTGCAATAGTTTGAAAGATCTAATTGGTGTATGTAAGCTAACATGTTAGCTATAGTGGCCTCTCAACTCTAGTAGAGAATTTCTAGTGAGGAGAACTGACACTCATTAGTGTCTTCAAGGTCGGTCAGATGCTAGAGAGCTGGATTCCTATGGAGCTTTTGTGCCAAATTGTAATTTTTATACTGGCAAATCTGTGTTTCTCAACACATAACAGCTTTTCAACACTAATTCCAGTTATAGAACTTTTTAACAGTGATGTATTTACGTTCATGACTTCAGTCATGAAAGGCAAACTGCTTTACTCAACCAATACGTTTATTACGTCACCAACCAACCAGCACTTAGTTGTCACAAAACCTGTTTTCTTTAGAAATCTGGATGATACTGGAGAATATTATTTTTTAATGTTATACATTCTTCTACTTTCTTTAAGGGATATAGACAATGTCCTGTGATGTTTTTTACTTATTATTTGGTCTATAAGAGGAAAAAAGTGTCCAGGCTCCTTTTAAACTGGTTCTGGTTTCAGTGCAAATCCAAACAAGCAACCCTCAGACACCACCTTAGACATCCTATCTGATAGACTTGATTTGGGGTGAGTTGAAACTTATGAGAAAAGCCTTGTGTTTTATGGCCAAAGTCTAAATCAGAGGTAAGAAACTGAGCACCAGAGTCCAGCACAGTTTGATCTGCTCTAGACCACCAGCCAAACCTGGTAATTAACTGATTAGTTGAACCTGGTATGCTTGAGCAGGACCACAGGACCAAGGTTCCCCAGTGATGCTGTTTTCACTCTTATTTGATTTATGTTAATGAGATATTTCAAGTTTGGATAGCATTTTACCCTGTATTAAAGGGATGCTTCACCTAAAAAAACACAACACTCCTCCAGCAAAGAATGAATCTGATAAGATAACGTTCATTTCGTATTTATTGGAACACAATGGAACGTACTGGCTTCCACATAAGAAATTTGATCAAGGCATACCGTTTACTAAACCATAGCCTGCTGTTTAACCCATCTGCTCTCTCTGTGCTTCTCAGGAGCCCCAGCATGTCTCATGGTGTGGACGCCATCGGCCTACAGGTTGATTACTGGCTGGCGTCCCTGGCTGAAAAGCGGCGCGAAGGTGAGCGGAGGGACACAGGCTGTAAAAACACACTGAAGAGCACCTTCAGGTCCCTGCAGGTCAGCCGACTACCAGGAGGGGGCGCTAATGAGCCACATGCTCCTGTCAACACCATGTCCATGACTGTGGTCACCAAAGAGAAGAACAAAAAAGGTGAGAGGAATTTAAGACAAAAAAAAACAATGAAAAAGTTTTTCCAGTGTTTTCCATGTAGTTACTGAATAATATGCTGAAATATACTGAAAAATCTCTCTTAAAGTTGCTGCAGGACAGTCAGATGCAGTAATTTAAAGATTGGATCTTTTATTTAATGCACTTTACAGCATCTGTTTTACAGTAGCAGCTCAGTCCTCTCTTCTGTTCTCCTTTTTGTGCAGTTCCAACCATCTTTCTGGGGAAAAAGCCCAAAGAGAAGGAGGTGGATTCTAAGAGTCAGGTGATCGAGGGCATCAGCAGACTCATCTGTTCAGCCAAGCAGCAGCAGACCATCCTCAAAGGTAATGCGGCACAGACCTCAGATACAGTTGTTGCATGATACAATAACATTATAAGAAGCAATACATTAGAATTAGTGTATTTCTGACTTACTGTGTAACAAGTACAGACACTGACGAACAATTACAAGAGCACCATTCACAGTGCAAAGTATTGAATAGAAAATAATGAAAAATTGGTAGTTAATATCACAATTGCAAACATGTTTGTACACTGTAACACTGTTAGAAAAACAGTTGCTTTGTAAGTGGCTTTATAGTAGAGTGGTTAAGTCACTCACGCTACACTGTTCTAATATCAGACATTACTCATAATGCTACATCATTGTGATTTTAATTAAAAAACGTAATTTTATCTGTTCCATCATCACTGCCCTTAATGATGTGTTCATCGCCAAAACACATATTACGATGAAGATAAAAATATGAATTATCATGCAGCCCAACAACAATTCACATAATATTGTCTGTGCAAAATGGACACGAAACGAGTACTGCTGGATGGGCTAAGCAGTCCAGTCTGCTGGAGGTGCTGAGAATAATAAAGACTGATCTAATGATGCTCAGTCAGTACAAGCCTAACATACCCAGTCTTGAAGAAAAACATCTCCATGAATCTGCCCACTCAGTGTCCCAGAGGGGATCATCCTACACAGTACTCTTTCTTTCTTTCTTACTTTCTTTCTTTCTTTCTTACTTTCTTTCTTTCTTACTTACTTTCTTTCATTCTTTCTTTTTCTTTCTTTATTTCTTTCTTTCTTTCTTACTTTCTTTCTTTCAGTCTTTCTTTTTCTTTCTTTAACTTGTTTATTTATACTTTCTTTCCATCTTTCACTCGCTCATTCATTCTTTCATTCTTTCTTTTCTTATTCATTTTTCTTTACCAATTCTTCATATTTTTTCTCTTTTTATGTATTAATTTCTTTTCTTCCTCATTCTCTTTCACCAATTCCTTTCATTTACTCATTTACTCTTTCTTTCATCAAATCTTTTTTCTTTCTTTTCCTTCTTTACTTTCTCTTTCTCTTTACTCGCTTTCTCACTCACTCTTTCATTTTTTTCTTTTTTTCTTTGTTTTTCACTCAGTCATTTATTCTTTCATTCTTCCACTTTCTTTCTTTCTTTTTTCACTGACTCACTTTTTTGATGGTCTTTTTTTCATTATTTCTTTCTTTATTTCTTTCTTTCTTCCTTTTAATCCCCTCTCACTCTAATATTTATCCCTCAGTAATATTTAATTTTTTTTTCTCTCTCTCTCTCTTTTCTCAGTGTCGATTGATGGTGTGGAATGGAACGACGTAAAGTTCTTCCAGCTTGCAGCTCAGTGGCCAACACATGTCAAGTACCTCCCAGTCGGACTGTTCGGATACAACAAACCGCCCTCCTAGGGCCGCCCACTAGCCCTCTAACCCCGCCCCTTCACCCTGCAGCCTTGGCCCTATTGCACACAATCCCTGCCAATCAGAACAGAAAGCTGGCCAATTGTAGCAGAGCTGTGAGGAGGGAACCTGCCCTAAATGTTCATTTCTTTCTGCTGGGGGTAGGTGGCGTCGCAGGGGTCGTGTTGATGGCTGAAATGTACTTTTTTATGGCGCTAGTCACTTTTATTTATTGAAAAGGTCCCAGAGCACCAAATTGTGAGGGACAAGCACAAAACGGCAGACACCTTCAGTCTACCAACAACAATCATATTACTGTCTGACAGCATGACAAAGCAGAAATCCAAAAAATGACCTTTAACATGACCTTTGACCTCATTGATGCAATGCTAACATGATTGGCCTCACTGTCAGAGCTGTAACAGAACAAACAAATGCTGTTAAGCTCTGATCTGCATGTCTTAAACTACAACACCCACAACCCACTAGTAAATTAGTGTTATTATGCAACTTACGTACTTGTGCATGTGTTGAGCCGTGCAGCTACAGTTAGCCACCTGAAGCTATGCCTTTTTCAGTTCAGTCTGTAGAAGCTTGATGACGCTGGGGTTTACTCAGTTATCAGTGAAGTGGTTGCCGTGTCCATGGACTACTTCTGTGAGTTTTCCATTGTTTTGTACATAAGTTAAGCTTTTGTGTCTTATAGGAGCTTTCAGTTATTTAGTTCTTATATGAGTACTTCGGAAAAGTGCCCTTTTTTAAAATATGTATGTAGCTCAATTAAAGGTTTTATTTTTTTCTTCATAAACCATATCTCCAAAGATCACACTGGCCAATCCGAATGTAAACCCATCGCACTGTCAAGCAGTCACAAAGTCACAAAAAGCATGGTTATAATCGCAGTGACCAGCATTCTACACTCTTCAGTTGTCCAGTAGATGGGAAATGATGAGGGGAAAATGGTTTCGTATCAACTCAAGGGCTGAGGTCAATTAAGTCCATCATATGTAGGGTAGAATCCCATAATATTCACGTCAACAAAACACGTAAATCATTGTTCTGTTAGCCATCACTATTCTTTTGAACAATCATCAGCAAATTTTGGCTGTTTATAAAGGATTGGTTGACTGAAAAAATCAAATTTACAGTTTTCCTCTTTCCCCATATTTCAGTTGGTAAAATGTTTTCTAGTTTTGCTGTGGAACTACAAAGCTAACATAGCTAATAAGTAGTAGAAGTCTATGTCAGACTTCCTTTTACATTACTGTTGCAGCTCCAGTGCAAAACTAAGCAGCAGTGTCCAGACACCAAACACCTTGGCTGACCCATTACATTTGGAGTAAGAGGAAAAACTGCAAATTTGATTTTTCAGTGAACCAATTCCATTAAGCAAGGAGCTCTGGGCTGGATCCCTATTGGTTGTTGAAAGCTATGCACTTAACTTACATTAGCTCTCACATCTACACATTTTCCTCCAAAGCACAATATTGTTGAAGGTTTTCTCTTGAAAGAAAATGGCACTTAAAGGGATAGTTAATCCATACAGTGAATGAAAGCAGTCCTTGGCAGTCAGCATGCTGTCATTGTTGGTGTAAACTATCACTTTAAATGAATATTCCACAAAAAATTCCTAGTTTAACATGTGATTCTTCATCTTGAACACCTCAAAGAAATTCAGATCTAAAGAAGTTCCCCAGGAACCAACATAAGCATGAGCTAGAACCGAATTAGCAATTATTAGCGACTGTTACATGGGAGCCACAATTTTAATTCAGTTGACCATTTAAACCCCATCTAGGCCTGTCACAATCAAGGAGTCTTAGCTGCTGATCAGTTGCCACATAAATGTTTGTGATTAATACAATTATTAAATACAATTTTTATTGTTCATTGCAACTATTAAAGTTCAAGCCTAATACAAATATGCCATTTTGCGTCCTGTGAAATGATGCTGATGGGCCCCAAATGATGACAGAAATAGCTCAAACTCATATAAACAAATGTTACTCACCACTTGCCTCGAAAGGTGTTATTGCACCAGTAGTTGTTTGCGTAACACCTGTGAGGTGACTTAAGCTTTGCTTTCTTTTATTTGCATGAATTTGCCTCAACCCGACAGTTTTGATGGGATGTAAATGCGTGATAGTGAAAGCTAACGACTGTGGAAACAACTGTGATCTGCGATCAGCTTAAATAATTGCGATCAGGCGATTATGTAGTAATTGTGACAGGCCTAATCCTTCATGTTTTGCCCAAAAAATAACATTACCGCCAAAATGAATATTAGAGGGTTATATTTAAATATTTGTCTTATCGGAGTTTGAAATTGAATTTCAAAATCTTTGAACTTGTAGATGAAATAAACAAACATCTCACCCTCCATTTTGTTAGTATGGTAGGTATAGGCAGTAATAGCTACTGCCTGGGAATCATGGTTTATATGGCTTAGTAACTTAAAAATAAAGCAAATTTTGCCCCTTTAACAGTTAGAGAGAAAGTAGGGGCACAAAAATGGATTAAAACTTCCAAAACTAGGAAATATTGAATAGTCATGAATAGGGCTGGATATTGAGATTCATTACCTTCATGGTACCAACCGAATTACTTCAGTACTACAGAGTATAGACATATTCTCTCCTACAGTACCAAATTACAGTACCTAAGTGGTCTTAACACCCATGGGCCAGTAGGCATGCTTGTTCCAAAATCTAGACTGCTGATTTTGGAAATTACATTCTGTATGCAACAGTGCTTCTTCAGTAGTTTGCAGTCCTTTGCGGTCAGCAAATATACCCACTTCTGGCACCTCACACTCATGTCTGGTTTAAGCCTAACTCACTTTTGGTTTGTAATTTTAAAAGAAGGTATCAGAAAAGTATCATTCAGGAATCAATATTGAAATAAAGTTATTGGTATTGGTATCAGTATTGAATATTTAACAATACCCAACCCTAGTCATGAAGTAACCTTTGTTTGTTTGGAAAATTAACCTCGTAAAAAGGAAAAACAAAGACAGGTTTTACAGTCCTGTCTATTTTTACTTCTCCACATAATGATGAAGTTTCCACTAATTAACTTCAAATAGCCTTTAGCCTGTTACTGGTTCTGAGTGATTTTTGTTGGCTAAGAATCCTCATTTCTGGTCAGGAATCACTTATTAAACTGTGTGGAATGCTGTTTTAAGAGCAGATCTGGGATCAGGTAACCATTCCTAATCAGAGACTTTAACAGGAAGAGCTAAGAGCTGATGCTGATCTTCAGTCAAAACTCCAGAGCTCCTCCCTTTACCTGCTTAAGCTGCTACATCGGTGTTGTTGTAGTAAGAGGCAGCTTCTACTAAAGTGACATTCTATTTTGTCTAGGACGTGTGTGAGGTATATTTGTTGGTGTTAAGGTGACCCAGATTTTAGTGTATGAACTGTGGTTATGTAAAAAACAAAAAGAAAAACAACAATATCTATGAAATAATGTCGTGCCACTGTAAGAGTGACGAGCGTTGGTTTTTCGTGTGTCGGTTTGTGTGCGCATGTGTGTTAATTTCAATTGTTGCTGACCAGTTTTTGTGGTGTAAATTTTTAACAGTTTGCTGACCCTGTATCTCCACAGAAGATTACATGAGACTTCTTTGCTGGCTCACTGACCTCTGCATGGGAATGAATTTGAAAGCAAAGAATATAACATCTCCTACCATTTAGGCAGCAGAACCTACAGCAGATATGAGAAAATGACACAGTAATGATGTGTTTTATAGAGTTTTTGTGTCTGTATCGCATTTTAACTACTGAAAGCTTTTGAAATGGATACTAAGCATCCAAACTAGGGTGTATTTTGTGTGGCAAAGTATTACTACAGATTTTATGTTACAGTGCAAAAGGGTCAATTACAACATTTGTGTTTAATACATTGTTTTCTGGAGTGGTTAGTAAGCAGTAGTGTTTTTTTTAAATGTTGCCTTCACATTCTCACATTTTCCTGATTGTTTAAATGGGTTTTGCACAAAAGCCAAGCAGCTTGCCAGTTAACAGACATGCTACTAAATGATTCATTGCACAGCACCTGTTTCCACCTCCCACTGACATAATAATATGCCAAATACAGACTAGCAAAAGATCCCAAACATCTACAGGATGATTGAGAAAGCTCTTATGGGACAATATACCCTATGAGTCAGTCAAAAACACCAAATTAATGTTGTTCTGTGAAATTGCGCATTGCTTTTCACTGATTTTTATCTTCCACTGGTTAAATGACCATTTATAACATGACAAGTGACTGACCACATATACACCAAAACAAGCAAGATTATCTGCCTATGGAAATAATGCTGGGTAATCTCACATTATTCTTACAGTGAACTTATAGTGGGAAAAATTATACATATCTCCACTAGATTTAAGATGCTTTCACTTGTCAGCATATCATTGTTTTTGCAGTGTTACAGCATTGCTGCTACTGGCTCTGGTCTGAGTTTTATTAGATGCTCCTCCAGGCTCCACCTAGCAAGTCTCATTGGGATCTTTACTCAGATCTTTGGTCAGACAAGGCCATCAATAATTCTGTTTTATCTAGGACCCAGTTGTGAACGCTTTAGGCTGAATTTGACCTTGACCGTCACAGAAAAGATTGCCATAGCAGTACATTGTGTTTTGTAACAAAAGGACCACAACAAATGAACCAGTGAAGTCTGGCTGTGCAGTAGATCATTTGTTAATTGTTATTGTGATGTTGGCCTTCTACGACTAATATTCTGACCAAGAACAGAAGCTCCACAAAAGTTTCTGTAGGAGGTGGCTAAAAAATAATTTTAGGCCTATCTTTTAAAGATGAATTCAACAGATTTTTCAGGATGTCTACATCATTAAGTCAATAAAATGTGAACAAAGTCATTCAGAGTGGTTTGATGTGAAATGGTTCATTGTAGAGAAACTTACCAGCTCAGATGTCTTTACAGTGGTGATGATAGGAACCAGGGATCACAATGTCTCATACTCAAACACAGTCATTTTATTTACTATCCAAAACCACTAGTGAACCTGCCACGTGTCTTCTGAATTTTTATGTTGTTGTAAAGGTAAAATAGTGATAAATCTGAAAAAACAAGTTTTCTTTGGGGGCTGTTTTGCCTTTCAATGGCTTTTGTGTACCTCCCTATCAGTGATTTTTAAAAGCTACTTTTTAGGCTAAAAATAATGCAAAACAACATCTCGGGCATCAGCCAACATATAACCAGTTCATGTAATACCTTTCTGTGAGTGAGCTTTTAGAGGTATTAAATGCTTCAGATGTCTGGTTCCCATCACCACCACTGTGAACAATTTTGACTAGGTAAGTTTATTTAGGATGGAGCACTTTACATCAAAACACTCCGAATTACTTTATTTATATTGAACAGATTGGATTATGCAGTCAAAAACTGGTGGGATTCCCCTTTAACCATGTCATAAACAAGGATTTACTGAAGTATTCTTAATATGTTGTAAGTTATATCGTACTCGCAATACAAAGCAACATAATCGTAATAGGAAATTTCATCTATGTTGTGCAGCCCTAATGTGATTATAGTTTGTGCTGATTGTTCAGGCTGTAAGCAGATTCTTTGTGCAAAATCCTTTTAATAGTAAGCACCTTTATATAGAGCTATCCTGATGTGTCAAAGCGAACACTCAAATGTTTAAAAAGATCCAATACAGCCATACTGACCCATATCTAAAGCTCATTAGCTGAGGTTGTTTAGCCTTTTTTCCTTTTTCTTTTTTTTTTAAATAATATCTGAAATATCTGATGCTGTCAGATTGTTTCTCACCACAAAGGGAACCGAGAGGACGTAAAGTGTCACTGCCAAAAAGTGTCAGCTGTTACATTTTCTATCAGATGGAGGCCAGCGTTCAGTGATGTTGATGTACTAGGAATCATCAAGCATGGCCACTTCCCTCCACTGTTACCTATTTCAATGCAAAAGCGTTTTAACTGAGACGGAGACGCATTTCATTCCAGCGACAACACTGTCTCGTTTTGTCGTCTCACCGCCTACTTGTGGTCTGAATGTGGACAGTGTGTGTGTTTCTCTCTCTCTCTGTGCTGTTCTCGGTCTGTTATGATGCCTGGCTAATGTCTGGCCTTGGATCAGTAATTGTAGTCTGTGTTTTGTGTGACGTGACCGTTTTGTTGTCTTTATTGAACAAAACAGTGGAATTCCAAGCACACTGATCAGAAATGAGTAATTTGTACAGCCGAAATTGTTGTTTTTTCTACTCCAACCCAAAGGCCTGGTTTACTAAAGCAGCAGAAATTCTCAGAAACTGCAAAGCACCTGAACAATATTGAACATTTTGCGACCGATGCCAAATTTAGGGAGCTAAAAAACAATGTCAGCTGACATTTTATATGTACATTTTAGGATTTAATCAGTGCTTTACTGACTGATATGACTGTCAGCTGCCAACAGTGAAATGTTTAATTTGATTTGGTTCTAAATTGTCCGATTTATTAAAGTCTAACAGCAGAGGTCTCAATACAGATATTGTAGCACTGGCGGCAGAACACAGATATTTTGTGGTTTTGGTTTGTCACTGTCATTTACCTCTTAATCATTTTCCTTCATAGAAAATGGCCCTGTCATCATCTATCATTAAAAGATTGTGGGTTTGAATCCAGCCAAAAAAGTCTGTTTACCTCCAATATGTTTACTGATAAAACCACATTGGCAGCATCAGCCACCTGATATATCAGTCAGGCTCTAATCAAGAGTGCAATTTCTAATGATCACTGATCGCTGAACTTGACTTTAAATTGTCAATCGCTTTAGTAAAGCAGGCCCTCATAAGAGTCTTTCTCTTCGAGTCTCATCGTAATATTGAGAGAACATTTTTTTCTTGAATTCCACAAGCTTTGGTGTGCGCTCTAAATTTTGGCTAAAGTTAAACCCCAAGGCACAGTCAGTCGGTGTGGTAGAATAGCACTCTTTCATATTTGGCACAAAACTTGTTGCTAGAGGGAGAAGCCGAGCTTGTGGATGAAAAGAGTATTTTTGCACATGCACTTGTTTGTTTTAGCAGTCCTTAGCTGTTTGCCTTTTGCCTATAAAAAAGAAAATCAACAATGCTTGTACATATCTTAAGAAGTGCTTGTAATATGTAATAAGTTCTTTTATTGTTTTTTTTTATTCAACATGTTTTGTAGTACTGCTTTTTTCATGATTCAGTTGTCTTTTGGGTAATGTGTGGGATATAAATTGAAAGTGTTCATTTTTTTTTTTTAAATAAACACACCTTATTTGTACTCTGCCTTCAGTGTTTTCTGTACATTTTCACAGAAAGAGTGCAACGTCTGTGTTTGTGGATGCAACTGAATGCTTGGTAGGACATTTCAAATCTTTTTTTTTTTTGCTGAAAAGGAGTACATTTCATCACTTCAGTAGGCACATGGCAATGCCAGGGAGGGGTCTAAAGTTCTCTTCACTCTCAGAAAAAAGGTACTAAACTATCACTGGGGTGGTACCTCAACAGTACATCTTCAGTACCTTACCAAATTCCATTGCAATTGTACTTTTAAATTGCATTGACTCCACGCAGTCTGTCGTGACTCCAGGCTTTTTATTTTAATGTTCTGTTTTAAAACATTAGGTTATGAAAAGGTACAAATATGTACTTTTCCCATGGAAAAACTTATTTAAGGTGCACAATTAGCCCTTAAAACCACTGTTGTACATTTGAGGGCACATTTACATTGTTTGTATCTTGATGAATAAAAACCATCACGGTACCTTTTTTTTCCAACAGTGTTTCTAGTTATTTTAGCTCTGTTTAAATGAGGATTCATCTCCTGAACAGTTCTCGTTTCTATTTAACATTATCTCATTACAATCTGTAAGCTACTTCCTACAGTCAGAGCCCAAGTATAAGTTCATCCAGCTTCATTCCCATGGTTTTAATAACACTCATAAAGTAAAGCAGAATTAAATCATCCAGCCAATTATAGTCTTAGGCAAAGTTCATATCCATCTATTTAAATTTAGCACTACAGCTTTACCACATTGTTTTCAAGCAGGAGATTTAATTGCATTTTAAAACTACTCTTCATTCTGGCAACAGATATGAAGCTGTAAGGACTAAATGGTTCGAAATGACTGTATGCCTGGTCGGGACATGTGTAGTATTTTTCACATTTAAAAAATATCAGGGGAGAATAGTGTCTAATAGCTGAAAGAAATCGGTTACCTATTAAAGGGTAACTCCGCCGATTTTCCAAAAATTGTACATTATTATTAAATGGTTGAGATGTAAACAAAGTCATTTAGAGTGGTTTGGTGTGAAACGCTCCGTTCAGGAGAAACTTAAGAGTCCGAATTCTACACAGTGGTTTTAATAGGTGCCAGACGTCTGGGGAGTTTAATGCCTCTAAAAGCTGATTTGATAGTAAATAAATAAATCTGGATAGTAAATAAAATTGCTATATTTGCGTTGTAAACATCACGACCCCTGCTTCCTATCACCTCCACTGTAAAGAAATCAGAGGCTGGAAGTTTCTATACAACGAACCATTTCACACCAAACTACTGTGAATGACTCTGTTTACATCTCAACCTCTAAATTATGCAGAAATTGTAAAAAAAATCAGTGAAATTCCCCTTTTAACTAAACGTTAAACGTGGCCGCGTTCCAATATGCTTACTTGTATTCTAAAAAGAACGCTTAGCTAGTGCACAAATTTCACTAGATGTGCGTTCTGGCTAGTAACACAGGACTGCATATTGGAGCACAATCACTACGCGCATGCTCCCTCTGCCGTCCTTGGCGGTCATATATATGCACATAGACGGCAGATATCGCTCTGGCAAGTCACTCTCAGGGCAACGAGAAGATTCTGGAGCGTGAAGCAAACATCGGAAATCAAGCGATGATGGACGGATGAAGCGAAATCGGAGATGTAACTGACTTGCCGTGTCCCAAACTAACCGGCGCTGTGTAGTCGGATGCATTTTGCCAACGGACGAGCGGTCCGTCCGTTAGCCGTTATCGCTTAGCCTGCTGCTTAGCTACGATGCTTCAGTCGGACTTTATTTTCTTTCACCTCGAAAACGTTTAACCTTCTGCGGCCACCGAGTCCGGAAGATTTAAATTTATTTTTCGCCTCGGAGTTAAAAAAAGGAGGCCAAGAAAGTATCGACCCGCACTTCGACGCAAGCAGAAATATCTGTGTCAGCGAAGAAGGTGAGGTAAATACGATAACGTTAACGAAATGTTGTGAGTTGACCTGACTGTGTAACGTTAATGTCAGATAGTTTAGGTCATTTGAGCTTTTCGCGTTTTTTGTAGTGACATTTTAAGCCAGACCACGATGTTTTCTTCGTGTTTATCTCCCTTGCCTCGCAGAATGACTGGCAGTGATGCAAGCGGGGCATCCCGGTCGGGCTTTTGTCCAAACAGTCTGGAGAAAGCTAACGTTAAGCTAGCTTCTAGGCTAAAAACAGTAGCTTGAAGGTGGCCCGGTCTTTACGAAGCTGAGGTCAGCTTCTTGTTCGAATCCTCCCGTTCCACCTTAAATGGCGCCGCAGTTACATTATGGCCTCAGGCGTCAGAATGTAACTGCTGCACCATTTAAGGTGGAACGGGAGGCTTCGAAGAAGAAGCTGCAGATTACGGAGCCAGCTTCAGCCTCAATGGGGCTTTAGCGTTTGAGTCAGCTTTGAGATTTGAGAATTGGTTGCTACGTTATTCTTGAAACTAGATCAAGACCAGACTAAAGTGGCTACTAGAGGTTAAGCTGATTTCGTGATGCGCCATTCGCATGTGGTGTTGCTGGTGTTGGAACTGAGCTCTGACCATGTAAACCGCAGTAAAAAATAGTGATGACTGGTCTTGTTTTGGACTGGTAAACTTGTTTGAGCTTAAAAAACTGTTATAAATACACCCCGTCAGTCTGAGGCCTCAAACACAGTGAAGTCCACACTGCCTTTCAGCTGAATGGCTTCTCTGTGGAGGCTGTATAACCTCAAAGCCTGATCGGTCACCTTCATTGATCCGCTGTGGCTAAATTGCGTAAGCTACATTTCACCCTCAGGTTTCTGCTGTGAGTCAGGGCTGCTCAAAAGCCCAAAGCTTAAGGTTGGGGATTGTACAGTGGAGTATGATGCACTGTTTGCTTGCTGTTCAGCATCCTGCTCCTTCTGATGGAAGTAACAGGCTCCCTCCTCTTGCTGCATTGCAGTGAATACACAGGGTGAGGGTGGGTGGGGGTGGGCTGTCACAGGGCGCCACCTGATGGACAAAAAGGGAAGCTCAGGTGCCCATGACTCCTTTCAGTCAACCAGGGGTCTGGATTCTCAAAATGTCACGTTTTACAGAACTTTTCAGAAGAAGCCCCTTATAGAAGGACAGTGATTAAAATAACAGATTGCTCTCCTATAATACCCCTGTCTGTGTAGCTGTGGATGGCCTGTTCTTGCTGACACCATCTCTTAATGCCCCTGTGTTGACATTCTCAGTCACCTGAGGAGCCGATGCTCTTTTGTTTCTGTTTTAAAGGGACTTTGAGTGAGTGTACTTTAAATCAGTACGAAGTCATTGTGACTGCTCACCTTTATCCTATGATGAAATATTTCTGTCCTGATGGGAGTGGTCACTTGAAGGATGACAATGCCTACAACCACAAGCCTTTATTAAATACTACACAGAGTGGTTTGGCTCAGAAAAATAAACATTTTTAAAGCAAAGAAATGCAAATTACCATGTTCTTTAACAATGTAGTGATCTTTTAAAACAGTGCAACTGAGCTAGGGACAGTACAGAATAAATAGGATGCGCTCATGCTAGTTTTGATTGTTGACTGTGATTTTGACAAAAGATGGCAAATTAGAGGCCTTTGGGAAAGACCAAAGGGTGTGTCAGTGATAGTTTTCAATGTCAGTATGCTGTGTCTACTATTATTATTATTATTATTATTGTTGTTGTTGTTATTTTTTTCTGTTTCTCAGTACAGTAATGAAATCACTTCACCCTAACCAGGTACACTTGTATGTGTAAAGTAATTTGTATTGGTGAAAATTGGTGGACGAAATTGGACAGTACATCATAAATTATAACCTACAGCCACAAATGGCAACACAAAATACACAAATCCATAGTATGTAGACTGAATGTACAGAATGAGTAACATGAACATGTGTTTTCTTAGACTAGATGATTAAATCTGAGTCATTAAACGTGCAATATCATCTTTAAACATAGATGAGCGTAAATGTTGTTTTTAAAAAAATTGGCCCAATACATAAACAGCAGGCCTTCCTCACTAATACAAACTCTGAGCTGGCCACCAAAGCACTCATGTTTGTGTGTTAGGAAGGTTGTATTTCACCACTGTTTTTTTTTGTGTAATCTAGAAGCTCCAGTGTTCTGAGTCTGGCCATGTTATGAGAGCTGTGCTTTTGGGAGTGTGCTCAGTGCTGACCAAGAGGTCACAGATCTGCTGAGTGGCTTTTTCAGGTGTTCGAAAAGGCGCTGTTAGCACTCAAGGGCAGTAATCAGTCAGAGGAGACTGATGGTAATGTAGCAGAGTCGCTAATGGAGTCCTCCTGACATCCAGTAATGAAGTTTCAAACAGTGAAAGCGGATCTGGAATCAGTCATTCTGACATTTTACATTAGATATTATTACATCTGAGAGTGGCACGCCCACTATCAGGCTCCCTACGTATGGGCCCAGAATTTCATTATGGCTATTAGAGAGTGAGCCTTTGATTTCATTTTGAAATGATGTTGCCCAGAGGACCATTGGATCCAATCTTGTTCTTTGTGCTAGGAAACATTTGGGTCTCAAAGCAGAAAATTGTCATATTCTGAAGCTCTAATATAAGATCAGGTCGTTTGTACAGCATTCAGTGATCACATTAAAGCAATCGTCTGGCAAAAAAAAATTCTCATTGTACTAAATGTAGTCGATCAACCAAGGCATGATTAGTGTCTGAAGCTGACTGACCAAACATGTCTTGGCTGACCAACTTCGTTTGGTGTAATGGAAAATTGTATGAATTTGATATTTTTTACGAAGCATTCCGTTAAATGCAAAACAAAGTAAATCTAGTAAAGCTACAGTGAGGATCTTCTTCATTCTCCCTTTGTTTCCTCTTCTCTCCTCTTGCCTAAAACAGCTGTTTGTGTTTGAGTGCTGACCATTCCCAGACGATGTCCACCATGGTGTACCCGCGGGAAGAGGCTCTGGAGCGGCTCACTCAGGATGAGATTGTACTGAACACTAAGGCGGTGATGCAGGGTCTGGAGACGCTGCGGGGGGAACACGCTCAGCTCCTCAACTCTCTGCTGGACTGCGCCCAGCCCCCTGCCGCTCAGGAGAAATCTGGGCTGCTCCGTAAAAGCCTGGAGGCTATCGAGCTTGGCCTGGGGGAGGCACAGGTAACCACACTTCTGGTAGAAACTAGCCTCTTTGCTATTAACTCTGTCTCTGAGCTTTTTGATAGTTTTCATAGGATGGCCTGATCGTCACAAATTGCCTACACCTTCAAGAGTTTCTTTTTCAAAATACTCCTTGCTGTTATTTTTGGAGAGCCCAGTTCTGCAATAGTTCTGATTGGCGTTTGCTTTAATGCCATATTCAGATCTGCTTTCTTTTCTGTCATGGTCAAATACCTAATTTTATTGTCTTGTTTTATACCTTTTATGACTACAAAACAATTGTATATATTTACAGCTTTTTTATGCGTTTACAATTAAGGGAACGTGGAACACCTGAGCACTCAGAATCATCAGTAAATCATTTGTCCCAGTACTTATACTCAGTTCATACAATTGAAATTGGTTCACACAAGTGACAAAAAAAAACAGTGTGGTTATGTGGTAACGAAAATATTTAACAGTTTATTGTATGTAATAAACACTTAAAATGAGTTTCTCCTTTTTTTTTTTTCCTAATCATCCCAGTGGTCAACCAGTATATTGTGCATGTTTGAATCATGCACTTGATGCCATTGATGCAGGTCTTTGTAGGGCAGAGATGTGATCATACTAATGACAGAATTTGGATCACTTACAAAAAGAAATATGAACAGTCAAGCCAGACGCTTTGCATCTAAGAAGAGGTTGAAAAAATTGGCTTGTTATGTGAATGTGTGAATTATGTGTTATATGAATATCCTTCATTATTTGTTTTTCAAAATTTTTGGAAAAGTGTATATGTGTGAGCTGTGTTTTGGGCTAAAATGGTGAAGTTCAGTGGCTCTGTGCGCTGCAGGTGATCATCGCTCTGTCGGGTCATCTGAGCGCTGTGGAATCGGAGAAGCAGAAGCTGCGGGCGCAGGTGCGGCGGCTGTGCCAGGAGAACCAGTGGCTGCGGGACGAGCTGGCCAACACACAGCACAAGCTGCAGAAGAGTGAGCAGAATGTGGCACAGCTGGAGGAGGAGAAGAAACACCTGGAGTTCATGAACCAGATCCGCAAGTTTGACGATGACGGCTCGCCTTCAGAGGAGAAGCCTGGAGAGAAGGAGAAAGACAACCTAGATGACCTGTTTCCCAACGACGATGACCAGGGACCAGGTGAGAGAGAGAGGCTGATTTGTGCATTTTAGCTCTTCATATTTATGAGAACCAGTTATGCAAGTTGGAGCCAGGGTCAGTGGGGGGATGGAAAACAGCAACCATGAAATACTTTAAATTGAAATATGATTCTTTTCCATTATTTTGGTACTGTTCAGAATTATTTACATTGAAATGCGCTGAATACACAAATGTGACTAGAGGAACTATTTTTACAGTAGTAGAAAACAGACAATAAAAAATGTGCATACTTTACTATATTGAATGTTATTTCTTTTGCAACATTTCAAAATCTTTACATTTGGTCAAATAGATGCATCATGATGCATTTGTACACTGAAAACATGAATTATGACATGTCTCAAAAAGGGACTCATCGGAGATCTTTCTTATGTGAATGAAGAGCTAAAGACTTCCAATAATCCATGCTTGTTCTGAAGATTCTGACCCTGTTCTGCTCTCTATCTGGTCCAGCCCAGCCGAGTGGTGAGGTGGCAGCACAGCAGGGAGGCTATGAGATCCCAGCCCGGCTCCGAACTCTGCACAACCTGGTGATTCAGTATGCCTCTCAGGGCCGATATGAAGTGGCTGTGCCACTCTGCAAGCAGGCTCTGGAAGACTTGGAGAAAACCTCTGGTCACGATCACCCCGATGTGGCCACCATGCTCAACATCCTTGCCCTCGTCTACAGGTCAGCAAAGTACATAGCAGGTTTAAGATGGTAAATTTAGAGATGCCTCGAATATTTTCAGTCAAAAGTGCTGAAAGTCACTTTAAGCTTTTCACCAATTTTGACCAAAAATGTTCCAAATTTTTTCAGAGATTAATTAGGCATGCTCTAACATTTTACAAAATCTCTTTGTGGTTATGGGAATTAGAAAGTTAAAAGATCCTTTTTCCTTTCCTCTCCTACACCAGGCATCGCTGACATGTTCAAGTGGTGTCAGCAACATGTATCCTGTAACTCAGTTCTTTGTTACTTTAAGTATTGTCACATAGAAAGGACAAATTTTCAGTCATTTTTTTTTTTTTTTTAAACTTCTAGTTTTATTCAAAGACACAAATAAATAAGAAAAAATAAATTAATATACTGTATGTAATTGTACAAAAAAGTGCAGTCCGGCATTTGGTTTTCAGTTTCAGTTTTTGGCCACGTGTCCTGAATTTTGGTTTCAGTTTCAGTCAAGAGTTTTAATTTCAGTGCATCACTAGCTGAATTTGATGCTGTGTATGTTATGGTATTGTGACCGTAATCCATCTGTAGGCCATTTTAAAGTGCACATGTCTGTTTACTTAGTGCAAGCGTAGACTTGCTCTCACACAGACTGTGTGGGTGATGCTTTCAGTAAACACATTGTACAGCTGTTGAATATAAATGCTGTGTTATAGATCTTAAATCTGACATTTATGAAACATTGTGTTGAGCTGAAGGATTACACCAATGCTTTGCTGTGTAGGGATCAGAATAAGTACAAAGAGGCGGCTCACCTTCTGAACGATGCTCTGGCTATCCGGGAGAAGACCCTGGGGAAGGACCACCCTGCTGTGGCTGCCACCCTCAACAACCTGGCGGTGCTCTACGGCAAACGTGGCAAATACAAGGAGGCTGAACCTCTTTGCAAGAGGGCGCTGGAGATCAGGGAGAAGGTGTGTGGGTCAGATAGATTCTTTTGGTCTTTTCAGAGCTGGCCAGATCTCTGTATGTGTTACCTCAGGTGTACTGTGCTGTGGTAAAATGCCTTTTGGCTGTAGAGTGCATATTGTCAGTGCCTAGAGACATTAGCAATCTATACACCACCTGTATTGGTTATTTGTGCTTGTGTGATCTGCAGGTTCTGGGAAAGTACCACCCAGATGTGGCTAAGCAGCTGAATAACTTGGCACTGCTGTGTCAGAACCAGGGGAAGTATGAGGAGGTGGAATACTACTACCGCCGAGCCCTGGAGATTTACGAGAGCAAGCTGGGGGCTGATGACCCCAATGTGGCCAAGACCAAGAACAACCTGGTAAGAGCAGAACCACAACTCCTCTCAACCAGATTAGAGGATTTAATCCATTTAGAAAGCTGACCTTAAACTGTTTACCTTTTCTCTTAATTTTATTGTAATGGTCCTGGAGTTATAGTAAGGCTGTCTTCCAAAATTAAAGTACAATACCAAATAGTGTTTGCTTATTCTTTGCCAAATAGCATAACATTTGCATTCTATCTAAAAATGCAACATAGGATGATAAACTGTGAAAAATGAAAGTCCATGATCAAGTTTTTTTTTTTCCCCTGGCTCTACCAGGCAACATGCTACTTGAAACAGGGCAAGTTTAAGGATGCAGAGGCTCTGTACAAGGAGATCCTGACCCGTGCGCATGAGAAGCAGTTTGGCTCTGTAAACAGTAAGCATTCTGAAGTTTCCAGCTTTCTAACTACAGCAGAAATTAGCTAGTGAAAGAAATATTTGGAAAATGCTGTACAACGGTGGTTCTCAGGAGGATTGTGAGTCTAATCCGGTCTGCTTTAACGCACAGATAAGCTTAAACATTCTTTTGGCCACATGACAAGCCTTTAAGCCAATTGAACACTTGCTTGCAGCAAAGATCTGACATGTAATTGACATGATTAGCATGTGTGTTCTTACTTACACTGGAGCTCATTGTGGTAAGGACATGGGCTTGTGTTGGACAAAGGATTAAAGCTTCTGTGCTTATAAAGGTTTATTATGCTGTTGTACTCATATACTCTACATTTGTGTACTAACATGCTCAGTTTATCTATACCTAATAATATATGATATGTGGTTGAAATGAAAGCACAGCAACACAACCTAGCAAATTTGTTGCTTGTTCTTTTTTTCAGATGACAACAAGCCAATCTGGATGCATGCAGAGGAGAGAGAAGAGAGCAAGGTATGTGCACAGTCCATCCAGCCCTTTGAGGCTGTTACCACTAGTACTGGGCGATTTTTACAGAAAAACTGAAACTAATTAGGTTCCTGTTTTACTGTTAAAAATTGGATTACTGATAATAATAAATGCCTGTTGGAAGCCATAAAGTACTATATATTATGTCTCACACCCAGTTTGTTGGCAAAAGTTGGCACCACAGTTTGTATTTTGGTGACATTGTATCTTTTTGTTTGGTTTGCTTTGTTTCACAGTGCTACGGCTAAAGCAAGTTACTCATATGGGTGATCTTTGATTGGTCAGAAAGTTGGTGTGAATACAAGCATCTGTTACTTTTACAGTTGCCTTTGTTAAAAGAGCCAAAAAACAACCTTTTTATTACCTTATCACTGTGTGAAATCGTGATCTAGACTTAAAATAAATTATCCTACCCCTGCTTTTTATAAAAAAACACAGGTGCCTAAGATCTAGAATATTAAAATCAATGAAATAAAAATAAACCTTTTACTTTCATATTTGAAAGTAAATTCAACCATGAATTCACCTTGAATTTAACCATGTTTGAAACATGTCACTGAAGCATACCCAGAAACACTTTCTGTGGTCCATGTGTTAAAATCAAATGCATTGCTTCATTACTATTTTAGTGCTCATCTGCTGTTATTAGCAGCAGCTCATCCTGCAAGAATGATGTGTATGTCTATAAAGAGTCAGGTGTTAAAATGGGCAAATTATGCAGATAGCACAGTGTTGACAGGCTGCTAGTAGAAGAGAAGAGCATGCTCTGAGGTTGAATTTCCTTTAGAAAGCTCCCTAGCTTTGTCAGTTTTCTTTCTCAAAATGCGATTATTGCCTTTGAAGCAACGTCATCAGCTTATTGGTCGGTCATCGCCAGTATCTGAAGGTATTGTCCTGTCCTGTGCGCTTTTGAATGGAGTTGTGTACTGGGGGGAAAAAAACCTTTGCAATGCTTTTGCCTCTCAGTGCTACAGTTGGAAACTCTCTGTACAATAAAGCTGACTGAATTTTCCAGACCTCTGCTCACGTGACTGTTACGCAATAGACCCACGAGACAGAGATTGTGACTGTTCTTGTTGATATAACAGGGTAAGAAGAAGGACTCTGGTCCCTATGGCGAGTATGGCAGCTGGTACAAAGCCTGCAAAGTAGACAGGTGAGTGCAGTCCAGAAAGAGAAGTCCACTCTAATGTATCAGTACCTGTTTTGACTTGGTTGGTATTCTGTCCTGCTAAAAGTATCATTCACAAGCCAAAGTGAAATGTTTCTTTTATGTTGGATGAGAGGAGAAACTGTGTGCATGTTGATGGCTCCTCTTTCTGCTGTGTGCAGTCCTACAGTCACTAACACACTTAAGAGCCTGGGGGCGCTTTACCGCAGACAGGGCAAGCTGGAAGCTGCTGAGACTCTTGAAGAGTGCGCTACAAAGAATCGGAAACAGGTAGCACACCAGAACTGCGTTATGTTTATCTGAGCATTTTTTAAGCAAATCAGTCACACAAATACTACTAATAATAACAATAACACCCATAAAATCAGTCATGTAAATGATGCTAAAAACCCTCCATTCTTTCTGTATAGGGTATAGATGCAATTAACCAGAGTAAAGTGGTGGAATTGCTGAAGGATGGCGTTGCTGGCGGAGACAGACGACAGAACCGAGATGGCTTGAATGGTCCTGGTGGTCCACGAGGGGACTCTGAGGCAGATGAGGCTGAATGGAATGGGGTTGGGACATCTACTATTTGCTTGTAGTATACACAGACTTTACACATCTATGTGCTGTGGGAAGATTTTGACAGTCAAAGCTAAAGGATTAAAGGATGAGGGGTAATGCAGCAATTAAGTAATGGAGGCTTATACACCACACTTGCATCAAAGCACATCTCAAGTAGACTTATTTGGCTTCTGGTACCGTTGTCAGTCCTCCTCCAATGCAGTTCTAGATGTCTAAAGCTCTGCTCACCTGCAGAGTGTGGAACCTGCTGTTTTCTTAAAGGCTGGATATTTATCTGCTGAAGACTGGGTTGGAGGAACACGCAGTGAGGTTTCACGTTAAGTTTGAAATGTAATGTTAGCCCTTACTGCCCCCTGCAGGATGGCAATGGGTCTCTGCGTCGGAGCGGCTCCTTCGGGAAGATCCGAGACGCTCTGAGGCGCAGCAGTGAGATGCTGGTGAAGAAACTGCAGGGAAGCGGCTCACAGGAGCCACGCAACCCAGGGTGAGGGAACACTACAGATCAGAGCTGATGAACTACAGAAGAGTGTAACTAAGAGTGACCAAATTACAGATCAGGGCTGAAGTACTGCAGATGAGCTCTGTCTGATTTTGTTTAGTTTAGTAGAAATGACTAAAAGGTCTGTGTTTGTGTTTAAGGATGAAGAGAGCAAGTTCTCTGAACTTCCTCAACAAGAGTGCAGAGGAGACCTCACAGGTGTGCAGAAAAACTGATACACACACACACACACACACACACACACACACACGTACACACAGTCACATGCAAACGTTAAGTGCCCCTGGTCAAATTACATCATGTTTTGAAATAAGTCGACATCCTCTACAGAGAACACACGTCTGAAAATTTAAAAACTCAATACTATTATTTGGTGGAACTTTTAACGTATTAGGAGATAAAAATTAAAACATTAAATGTTTGTTTATTAAACATAAGTTATGACACCTTTTTATATTTAATTTTTATTTGTTTTATTTTTCCCCAATATATTAAACCCAGTGAATAAATAGAAGTTGTGCACAAAATTTGCAAAACAATGGCATGTTTAAGTGTGCTCCTTGTAGAGAATGTGTATATATTTTCCCTTGTAAAATCAACAAAACATATCATTGGACGGTGGTTGTTCAGATTCTCCGCACAACTGCGTAAATACTCCAAAAGTTTATATTCCAAAATTTTCTTCAGTAAAAAATATATTATGATGCTTCGATCTGAAGGTGGAGATTCGGTTGAATTGATATTTGGCTAAAATAAAATTGTTTGGCTATTTTTAAACCTAACAGCTTGGTTTATTTTTTATGTAATCAAATTAAATTTAATCACAGTAAAATCAGAGATTTACAACCCTACAATGCAGTACACAGTCTTTTGTTGTATATTTCAAATCTGAAATCTTTTTGTATTTTTCTGTTGTATTTTCAGGAGGCAAACAGTGGCCTATCAGAATGTAGAGGCCTGAGCGCTAGCAACGTTGACCTTTCAAGACGCAGCTCCCTGATTGGCTAGAGAGTGAGGCTGGTGTTGGGCTATGAAAAGGGGGCGGACCTAAGAGGAGAGGCTGATTGCCTTGTGGAATTGAATCACAACATTTCATCACTAAGTCATTCTTGTTCGGAACATTTTCATAAGGAAAACATGTTAAGAGCAAAAATATGTCTTTCATTTGACACGGCTCAGTAGTACCAAGTAGCTGTCCCGCTTTGCTGTAAAATTATGCTAACATCAAATTATTAACACTCAAAAACAGATAGAGGACCATTTTTCTGCACATAGATTAAGCCTGGAGCTGCACTGCTGATGGGTCATGTCTATAAAATAAATTCTTTCAGTGCTAGACCAGGCTTCGATCTGTGTCCTGGAAAACAAGCCACATAGTTGATGCAATACAGCATGCTGCTTTCAACACTGGACGTCTGTCTGCATCGGAGACACCTAGTAGCCTCACAGAGTCGTGGCATATTTTAAAAAAGAAAAACGAACAAAAAATAAAAGGTAGACTAGCATATCATACAACAATGAATCGTACAAGAAGCATACTGTATGTAATTTTACCTTAATTATCTGAGCTCAGATATGCTATTTAGAGAGGAAAAAGAAACCTAAATATGTTGCGTGTGTGCACTAGTAGCATGAATGCCGTGAATGCTAACTCCACACACAAATCACAATGGTAGTGGTACGAAAGCTCTTACTTTCATCACAGACACACAAAAGAATTGACTTAACTGAAGAGCAAGACTTATTGAATGAAAAAGAATGGGGGAAAAAAAAAAAACTAGTGCTGACTTGTAAAACCTCACTTTTGCCTTCTGATTTTTATGTATATACAGGTTTAAATTATTTATATTGTTTGTGTTTGTTTTCCTTCTTTGTAAATAGCACCTGGGGGTTTTGTTTACACAGTAGCGAGTAAACGGTTCTCACTGGAAGTGACTGGACAGCAAATCTTTATTGCAGGAAGATTGCGTTGAAACAAGAAAAGCTGTTTTTGCTCAAAATGCTGTTTTGTTCAGGACACTGTGTCCTGCACATGATCTTTACTGGCTGCAAAGGGTAAATTAGAAGGTTGAAACTGGATAAAAGGCCGAGAGGCATGTTGTGTTTACCTATTGCTTTTGGTGTTTTTATCCTTTGATTCCTTGGTACTGGCTAATGTCCAAAATCATGTTATAAAACTGGACTTTGTGTATGGTTGTGTCTTCTATTTATTTGCAGCCCAGAGTTTAGTGTCCGGCGCCGTCCGGCATGTTTTTACCTCTCGATTAGTTGAATTTTCTTCTAATGCAGGATTGGTTAGGACCAGACTTATCTATGTAATCCAGTTAGTGGGTCACACAAATCTCTATGATTAATCTCCATTGGTTCAGTTAAAGTTGTTGATTTGTTATTATGGGTTCACTAAATTATTTGGAATTATGTGGAATGAGCAATTCCACATCCACAGTCTGGAAATGGACTCTAGTGTTTATTTGGCTTCTGGTTGTGATGTGGCTAGCAGTGTTAAAATGCAACTGATATATTACTGGATTGGACTGACTGAAGATTGAATGTGTTTGGCATTGTCTGTGGGGAAGTTAGCGCACTATTAAAGGAATGGTTCACCAAAAATGTAGTCCTGCACACAAGACATGTTTGGTGTGAAGTGTTTTGCACTGGAGAAATGAAGCTAATGTAGCTAACAAGTCAAGGATGCTTTTTGTTGTAGACGACAGACATATTACATTAGCTTAATAGTTTTACTCTAAACTTTAGACAGCAAACATGTTCTGTCTGACTGACTAAGACCTTTTTCCACCTTGCATTAACATGTGTTGCATATGCGGATCATATCTGGATATAATTTAGCAAGATTACAATTATACTGTTCACTAAAATGTATCCCCTGAACTCTGCTGTTGATGGAGAATGTCTACAAAAGAACAGACAAGATCCGATTTTATTGTGCCGCAAGATGAGAATACATCAACACGCATGTTGTTTCTGTAAACACTGTTTCTCACTTGTTACTACCAGGGATTCACTGAAATTTCAGCCGCCGACAAAACAAAGATTAAATAGGCCTACAAGAATTTACAAATGCTTTTAACAGAAACAAAAATTAGAAATAGTGAATGGTGTTTTGTTTTTTTTTGCACTAGTTAATACATACATGTTCAAACAGTTTGAGTGGCAGCAGATCAACAGTGAAAATATCAGTGAAAAGCCATGTGGAACAGTTTCATGATTTCTATGTGGGACATTAGACAAGCGTTTTGTAATCAGTTCATGCCGAGCATCAAGACTGGTTATAACGCCCAAGAACTGCTCCAGTACAAGTTTAATACCACTTGAAAACACAACATCCTGCTCAATATGCAGAATACAGCAGAATAACAGAAGAAAAGGAAGTCTCTGTTAGTATGTCAAATGCCATCCATAGCCTCAGTTTTTGAGATGACGGAACAGCTCACAAACAACAGCGCCAAAGAACAGTGTATGACCACATGTAGTGGAATTCTTTGCCTTGGTTTTATTTTATTTTATTTTTTGTCTATTGTGAAGTTTTTTTCAACTTGAAGGTTTGGTTTAGTTTTCGGCCAAGAATTTTCATATCTGTCACCTGTTGGATGCTTCCATCAGCCCAAAGGGGACAAAGGCGTTTGGTTTGGGGATAACTCCAGCATCGCGTATCCTCCATTCTGAGTTTTCTTTGTTTATCTTCTCACTTACTAGATATGTTACCACTTATGTAATTGCCTGCAGCTGCAGAAAATGTATTCCATTTTAAATGGTCATTGATTGTGTTCAAGATGCATCTCTGACCACCCCAGTATGTAGTTCAAGTAATCCGATCGTAATCCAATTACAGTGCATCTTAGTTGTATTACAGCTGACTTTTCATGCAGTCAAGTGAAATCTGAACATAATCCGATCAACCAAAACGCATTTTGTTGCAAGGTGTAAACATTCTCTGTGGGGAAATTTGCATACGTTTGTTTCTTAGGTGAACCATTCCTTTAAATTGCACTGTGCTCATTAAAATGCGAGCAGTTGTGACTGTATGGGAGAAAAAGAAATTACTTGTTGTACCTAGCCATACTGTATTATGTACAGCAGGGGCAAGCTTTACTGATAGAATTATTCTGATTGTGCTGGATAATAATAGTGCAACCTAAACAGAAGGAGTGGTCTTAGAAAATGCTGGAAGGTGAAAGAGGTAGAGGTGAGGTTTAATTAGGAGGACAGCCGAATGTGTTTAAAAATGCAAGTCAAGTTTGTGTGATGTTGGTTGTTGAAGGAAAAGGAAAGAAGGATAAACAGTGGTAGTGGGGAGAGGAAAGAAAAGCTTTCAGGCTCTAATGTATGAAAAAGAATCATAGCTGATGGTAGACACTTGTTTGTCTTTCATACACTGTCTCTCTCATATATTTACTCTCATGTTTGTGTAAATGCCTCTTGCTTTGTAACTGTTTGGGTCTTAGCTCAGGCAGGTCTGTCGACTCTGTAGAATAAATTCTGTATTTACACTTCAATAATGAAAAGCCGCTTTAGCCCCTTCCTACACAGGACCTATTACTGACCTGTATCTCACTGGGTTTAGTTGTGTAATAGACTTTGCTGCACTCTACAGATTTCTGCTGGTCCTTTAATGCATTAGATTATCAAACTCTTAAGGAGTTGAGTTCGTGTTAAAGGGAAAACGCTGTGCTTTTCAATGCAGGAGGCCTGCGATGTGTACTGGGGGTAAAACAGCTTTAGGCCTCATTCTGAGAACTGCATTCTCTACCCAGTTTCCAGTGATAGTGTTTATCGTATTTACCACAACACTAGTACCACATCACCTGCAGCATGCAGCTTTTTTCCAGAAACCTTAGAATGCAACCCATGCAGGTTTTCAGTGGTTTGGGGGGCTAAGTAGCTGTTGTGCTCTACTTTAAAGATGGATTTAGTTTGTGAAGGGGCCAACTTCATGTATATTTCATATAAAAGGGTCAAAAGTAATAAATAAAAATTTTCACTTTTCAAACCAATTCCATGTGGTTATTATTGTCATTATCTGGGTAATGTTTGATTTTCATTGTTAATTTTTCCAGTTACGACCCAAAGAATACCTGCAAAAGTTATGTTAACTTAAAACATCTAATTAATCTAGGGGGGTAACAAATCACACACTTGAGAATTTGATTCATTATGATACAGTGCTTTTAATTAGATACATTTTTTTGATACAGCAAAAATAAAGAGTGGCTGAAATGTGACTTGTGTTATGTTTTTGTGTTATGTTTCCACTTTCAATTTGAGCATTCAGTATCATAAAAGTATATTATCTGTCCTGATCTAATGCTCTAGCCATAAACTAACATAGCCCAAAGTGAGAATGCAGGTCACAGTATAATATGATACAATATGCTGCTTTACGATTTGATGTAATTCGATACATTGTGTTGTTACATTTCTACTGTTCACTAGCACTGGGTATGTTTTGCAACACTTTATCAACACTATATTAGACGCAGGAACTAAGCTAGGCAAGGCAAGTTTATTTGTATAGCACCTTTCATACACATTGGCAATTCAAAGTGCTTAACATTCCTGAGATCTAGCACCTCAGAGAGGCTTTCGTAGGGTAGTTACATTTTAAAGAAAGTTGCAAAAGACAAATGCAACTGCGTACTTACTCGAGTCATTTGCAGCACCCTGAGTGAGGAAGAACAACAAAAGTTAACACTTTCACCCACCGAATAGCAGCAGATGTGCTAGCAAACTTTTAAAAACTTACAAAGAGTTGATAAAGCTTAAGAAAACATTTATGAATGTCTTATCAATCAAAACTTTAAATTAAAAACTAAGAACAGGAAATTAAAACAAAGGACATACAAGTTATAAAATGGAATTGAAGTGTAAAGTAAAACATTAAAACCATAAATTTAGCTTATAAAAGGTAAAGTGCAGGTAAAATATGGTAAAACATAAAAGGAGATTACAATGAAGGCCAGGTGCAGTAAAACTAAAGTGCAAGTTATAGAGCTTAACCATAGGCACATGAAAAGATAAATGTTTTTAATCCGGACTTAAAAATCGTTAAACTAGGGAACGCGTCGACGATCTTCTGGCAGTTTGTTTCACTTTTATGCAGAATAACAGCTAAATGCTGCTTCACTGTGTTTAGTTTGGACTCTGGACTCAACTAGCTGACCTGAGTCTATGAATCGAAGAGATTTACTTGGTTTGTATTCTTTAGACATATCAGAGCTGTATTGTGGACCTAAACCATTCAGTGATTCATAGACTAGTAGCAGCACTTTAAACTATATTCTTTAACTAACTGGAAGCCAGTGTAAAGATTTTAGAACTGGAGTAATGTGCTTTGTTCTCCTGGTTAAAACTCTAGCAGCAGCCTTCTGAATGAGCTGCAGCTGTTTAATGGTCTTTTTGGGAAGTCCAGTTAAGAGACCATTACATGAGTGCAAAAAACATGGATGGTTTTGTCCTTATTTAATTGAAGGAAACTGTGGCTCATCCAAATATTTACATGTTTCAAACGTTGACACAGTGAGTCTACTGGGCTGTAATCATCTGGTGTGAGAGCAAGACATAACTTTGTATCACCTGCATACAGGGCCGTAACTAGGATCAAAATTTTTGTGAGGTCCATTTTGAAAAAATGTGACCTACAGCTCATACTGAATAAAATAAGCACCGTATATGAGTGTTAAACCAACCGCAAGTTTCTCCTTTACCAAATTGTTACTCCTTTATTTGCCCATCCATAACTACTATGTACCTTTTCCTTTCATTTGTTCCTTCCCTGTCCCTCCATTTTTCCATAAACTGCTATTACTATTTCATACACTAATTTGACTCCTACCCTGTTTATTTATTTAATCATCTAACTATTTATATGTCTATTTTAAACTGTGTTGAAACCTACACTAAATCAAGTGATTGTTTCAAATTGATTTTATTTCCGTAATTACTGAAAAAGCACACATTAAACACATTACAAAAGGCTGGCTACACCAAACTCCAGAAAATGGGAGCGAATGAGACAAAATACAGTCTAATGTGCTTATTTTTTTTATTATTTATTAATGTTAGCTACATGATGCTATACCATCAATATGCTGGTCAACACTGAACTTTCTCGTGCTGGCGGTAGTATGTCATGAGTGGGCAACACAGTACAGCTTTAATTTCTCATCACTAATATAGCGTTAGCCAACTACGGAGCCTGTAGGCTAAACTGAGCAGTTACCGGAGGTAGACTACAGCTCGCTGATTTAGCCAGCAATATAACGAGCAGTCCAAACAAAAAATGAAACATGGGGTTTTCATTTTACAATCTTAATATGTTGATTGTGCTCATAAACTGTTAGCTAGCTACATTTTTACCACAGCGACGTTATATGTTAGCCTATAGTATGTGTGCTGCATACCTGAACATCTCAAGAAGTCAAAGTCACTCTGGTACTCAGGGCTGTAGCGTCTCGTACAGAGATGCACCGAGTGGGCAGTTCAGTCTATGGCCGAGCCACAGCTGTACTGAGGTCAGCTGAGAATCAGTCACTGCTTATTGGGTAGTTACGTCGCTTTTTTCCACACTGAATCTAACAAAACCCTTTAGAAACTTCAGAGGACCCCGGTCTCCTAACGCTAGTCACGAACAACACAGGTGCTGAATACTGAGGTAATTGGGGTTAGCCGCGGTTGCTAAGCAGTGATTGGAGGGTTGAGGAAAATAAGGCGGAGCTTGACAGAGTTTGATTGGCCATAATACAATGACAGCGCTCACAGAGAACAAATCAAAGTTCATGATCATAAAATATGACTCATTGTAAATATTCTGGGTGGGCCTGTGGCACCGTGGCTGCCCCTCTAAGTAGACTGTATTATAATGGCGCTGTTTCTACGTTTAATCTCATGAATAGAGAAAAGTTAAAAAAAAAAAAAACCTTCCGAGGTCCGGACCTCGGTGTCCACATAGCTAGTTACGGCCATGTCTACATAACTATGGCAATCAGTGTTGTTGTTCTGTAGAATTAGGCCCAAAGCAGCATATAGAGATTGAATAGAACACGGCCGAGAACTGAGCCCTGAGGGACTCCGCATTTCATAGCCACTCTATTGGATTCATAACTGCCAATGGTGAAAAAGTAAATCCGGCCTTCTAAATAAGACCTGAACCTATTATGGACTGTTCCGGAAAGTCTTACCCAATTTTCCAACCTGTCGATCAGTATTCTATGATCTACAGTATCAAATGCAGCACTTACATCTAGTAAAACCAGAATGGATATTTTGCCGAGTCAGTGTTCAGTCGTATATCATTTAACACTTTTATAAGAGCAGTTTCAGTACTATGGTAAGGTCAGAAGACTGAAATGTATACAGGAAAGTAGATCTCCAGGAAGAGGACTGGCTGATTTAAACAGCTTTTTATTACTTTAAACAATACTTTAATAAGTTATTGTAAACTGACAAAGAAAACATTTGTTAATCATTTTGAAAACTTTTGATGGGTAGAATATGTGTGTGTGTGCATTATTTATTCACACACAATTCACACAGATTTTTTCATTGATAACTATACATCATATCACATAATTGACCTCACAAAACATTATATCGCAGTGGTGCTTACCTTAAAAGGAAATTACACTGATTTCTTAAAAAGTCTGAATATTTATATTGTTAAGATATAAATGATGTCATTCAGAGTGGTCTCATATGAAATGCTCCTTTCCAGAGAAACTTACTGACTGGATTGTTGACAGTGGTGGTGATGGGAACCAGACGTCTGAAGCATTTAATACTTGTAAAAGCTACTTTATAGACAGCCATTACAACAAAGAGTTACATATTGTTGTCTGAAGCCTGAGACTTTGTTTACTATAGTTTTACCACTATTTACCATTTTTTTTACCACTATTATGTCATCATCAACATTAAATATAAATGTTGATGTCTATACATATACATATAAAATGTGTAGGTTCACTGGTCATTTTGTAAAATTATTAAAATGGCTAGATTTGTGTTGTAGACATTACAATTCCTGGTTCCCATCACCACCACTGTACAGAAAATCTGAATTGATAGGTTTTTCAACAATGGAGCATTTAACATCAGCCCTCTCTGAATGACTTTGTTTACATCTTAACCACTAATTTATGCAGATAATTTGAAAAATAAATGGAATTCCCCTTTTTCATCTTTTTAGGGTTTCAAAATTTCCCTGTGGGTGTTGGTTTTGAAAAATGCAGAGAATGGTAATGTTTGTATTTAAAAAAATGGGCGGATGAAAAGGCTTGCCTCTTTCTCTAGCTTGTGGCCTAGAGAAAGAAAATGGTCTGTGTGCAAGAGTTTCCTGTCTCTGCTGCCAGCGTCTCATTAGCTAAACGCGCCTCACGAAAAGGAAGCCAGTGTGAGATGAGAAGCAGCAGAAAACAAAGCAAGCTGCAGAGAGGTGTTGTTTCTCCCTCACCAAGGTGAGAGAAAATGGCCGCCAGTGTGAACCACCAGCCTGCGAGGGTGGAGCTGGACTCGCTGGACTCCGGTATTTCCAGTAAGTGTCTTCTCCTACATCATGTAGCGTCTTTTGCACACTTCTGCCTTTGCCCACATCTGGGATGCCTCACACTTCAGTAAGTCTTCTCTGACAGTCACAGCTTCCTCTGTGTGCGTACATGGCCTGTTTGATGGCCTGCATTTCAGAAATCTATACTGAGAGTCTAAGGCAATAGGAAATTAGAGGACATTTCTGTTCATTTATTTTTGTTTTACTCTTGGTTGACATCTTTTCATGCTTGCTCTGCTTGCCTAGCCGTACTGCAGACTTTGTTCTCATGCCCTCACTACAGCCACTACAGCGCAGCCTTATTTAAAGATAACAGTATGTAGCACTGTCTGGCTGTCCACACTGAGAGACGACTGAGTCGTCTTCAGTTTTTCCACAGGCAAAATGCAGAATTACCTGCTACTTCTTAGGAAGGTTCAGAATTGACCTAAATATATCTTACCTGTCTCTTAAGGTTGTTTCTCTGAGATGTCCATGGGGACAGAGTCGGTCCATCGAGGTCCCATCTGTGTCGTCTTCCAGATTGGCCTGTTCAAAGAGGGAGTCAAAGTGCCTGAGGGCCGGCTGAGTTTCAGAAGCGCGAAGAAACTGGCAGCAGACATCATCGAGAAGAAGGTAGGACTATTAAACATGATTAGTGATTATCTTATTATACAAGCAGTGCACAATATGACAATCCTGTAGCCTGGTGTTTGAATTATATTATTAAATTACCATAGTTACCTACAAGTAATGGGTGTTAATTTGTATAAGTAGCAGTATAAGGGGTCTAGTACGGATGTAAGGTGCCCTGGTTGCCCCAGGACCCCCAACTGCACTTGTGGTAGTCATGCAATTGTATGCAAAATATTACAAAGTCTGGGTTTTCTCTTTGTCCGTGTTCCAAAGGCTGTGGCCCTTATTCCATCTGGTTATTTTCCAAGCTGTTGTCCTTTACTAGATTGATCATTTGTATTTTTTTTTGTCGTCATTTTTCGTCATTTAATGTTTCAAAGGCGCTTTGGTAAAACGTCTTTTGTGATTTAATATTTTCACACCTTTTTCAAAGATGGAATAAGTAGATTTGGTCTGATTTTAACAGAGATGGTGGCATCATGGATTGCCTTCCTTTAGTAGATCAAAAGCTTGGGTTTGATGGAGTAAGGTTTTTGTGATAAATTCATTTAAACGCCATTCAATTTCATATTAGACTTCTATATAGATTTATGGCCTCTGAGATTAGGCTGCTGCACTAAACAGTTGTAGAAACTTGCTACTTCATGCCACTGTTATAAGAGATGTAGCAACTGGTCTTCAACCAGTTAAGCGGGCAAGGGAGGACTCGGGATGCACCGATCATGAATTTTAATGGTCGATTCCTGTTTCTTTAAAGAAAAACTGGCTGATGATGGATTTCTGTTAGCCTTTTTTAAACTTGAGGCTCACGCTGTGTGGGCTGACTGAATATATCAATCATACAGCACATTTCTTGTACTTTCTATTAGCCAAATTAAATATATAAATAGCATTATTTGTTCTTTAATTGGCCAAACTGGCATTTAAAAATTTTTAAACTTTCATTCTTAAATGAAAAATCAGTTGCCTATTTAAATAACACAAACCAAATTAAGTGCTACATTGAAAGTAAAGTGTAACTGACCATTTAGGACAATGACTCATGCATAACTATGCTACGACATTTTGGTATACGTATTTGGTATACATATATATTGTGGTGTACAGCAGCATTCAAATAAAGCATGAGTGCACTTGCATGATGTCATGATATTGCAAATTTACACAAAATTTAAAAATTGCGTGTTCGGAGCAAAAAATTCAGTGGTTTTATATTGTCTGATTCCAATCTTTCATGCACGGTATGTCTCGTACATAACCTCTCTTTATCCCTTAGAATTAAACAGGCTTTTTTTTTTGTTACTGTGCCTTTAAGACTGATATATGTAAATGAGATCTGTTCTGACTGGCTGCCCTATATCATTAAGGATATGGGCCCTTTAATAGATGTATACATTGAACAAACAAAGACAACTGTTCATCACAATTAATCATCAGCTCAAATTCACTGATCGTAACAGGCTTAGTATGTCTGTTTACACAGTAGTGGAATATGCACTATAAAAACAATGCAGCATGCTTTTTACATTTTTTTTTTTCACGTTTGAAAATATTTTGGCCAAACCATGAGCACATACACTGATCAGGCATAACATTATGACCACCGCCTTGTTTCTACACTCATTGTCCATTTTATCAGCTCCACATACTATATAGATACACTTTGTAGTTCTACAATTACAGACTGTAGTCCATCTGTTTCTCTGCATACTTTATTAGCCCCCTTTTACCCTGTTCTTCAGTGGTCAGGACCCCCATGGACCCTCACAGAGCAGGTATTATTTGGGTGGTAGATCATTCTCAGCACTGCAGTAACACTGATGTGGTGGTGGTGTGTTAGTGTGTTAGTGTGTGTTGTGCTGGTCCGAGTGGATCAGACACAGCAGTGCTGCTGGAGTTTTTAAACACTGTGTCCACTCACTGTCCACTCTATTAGACACTCCTACCTTGTCAGTCCACCTTGTAGATGTAAAGTCAGAGACGACTTTACTGCTGCTGTACAGTTTGTGTTGGTCATCCTCTAGTCCTTCATCAGTGATCACAGGACGCTGCCCACAGGACGCTGTTGGCTGGATATATTTGGTTGGTGGACTATTCTCAGCACACCACCACCACATCAGTGTTACTGCGGTGCTGAGAATGATCCACCACCCAAATAGTACCTGCTCTGTGGTGGTCCATGGGGGTCCTGACCACTGAAGAACAGGGTAAAAGGGGGCTAACAAAGTATGCACAGAAACAGATGGACTACAGTCTGTAATTGTAGAACTACAAAGTGCACCTATATAGTAAGTGGAGCTGATAAAATGCACAATGAGCGTAGAAACAAGGCGGTGGTCATAATATTATGTCTGATCCATGTATTTTACTGAACATT